TCAGTGGCTAGCTAGTGAAGAGTTTAAGTACAGAAGTATCCCCTTTGATATTTATCTTATTCCATACAAACATCATATTTTGGAATTCAGGAGTCGCCACAACTAAGTACGTTCCGAAGATATATATTTGAGTCCATCTCCTCCCTATAAACCTCATCAAAACCGAAACGAATCCATCAGTGTTCAGATCGAGAGCTACGTTTAGGTGTACAACACGAATGAGAAGACATGTTAATAGACATCTATATCTTTTTCACTGAATAATTTCACGACGAACCACTAGTGACCCAAAATAGTTAGTTCCAACGGAGGAAAAAGAGATTCGATTCGGTTACACTGGACACTCAGGAAAAGATATCGTTGGCTACTAACCCAGTTCAGCATTCATAAGTCTGCATTTTAAAGGTTTATATAGCACAAGTCTGGCTGCACTGGTCCTACTAACTATCGAATAGTTCCTGCGTACGGCGTCTAACACGCATGAGATGCCAATGTAAGCTTTTAGCTGATGGTAGTGTCAACTGATTTGCTCAGCTACGAAGCAGTGGCTCGGTAAGATCACAGGATGTTCCAGTGAAAGTTGAAAGTCCAGGTAATTTAGCCGTCCATCAACACACAGCAATCCTCTGACTAGCATAGGAGATAGATTTGTAAGAATTTTATCTTTTTCATATCCTCGCAATTGTCTTTAAGCTCTTGCATAACTAACCCCTAAACGTTATTTTACTAAAATTAATATTTTCGTTTGGCCACATCGATCTCACCGCAAGTGACGTGAACACAGACTACATATGTTCTGATCAATGCTACTACTTTAATGTGCTTGATCCGATTCCGGTGATACAGCACAATTGGATTATGTTTATGATTTGTAGTTCCAGTGTTCATCGTGTCAGCTCTTTTAAATTCAGATTATTGGGAATCGCTTCAATGCAAATCTTCGGTTAATTGAAGAGCTCTCTCTTTCTGAAATAGTGAATAACGGTGACTGGTAACGAATTCATTATTGTTGATTGGTCGCCTCATCCAAAAACGAAAGGAGTCCGAAAAAAATAAAATCTTCTGTTCCACAAACATGAGTGGATTTAAACCATAGCCATCACCATGAATGTTAGCTAGTCAGTAACTCCACCCTCTACCTTTTGTGTTGTTAGACGCATTCAAAATGATTTTTAGTTAATATTTGACATAGAACTTGAGGCTCTTCATTTCATATTCTGTTGAGAAACTCTTTATTTAAAGGTTCAATAATGCTAACTGTTCAGGCTTCTACAACTGATGAACTACGGTTTGGGCATTGAGGCAGCACAGTAAATTTTTATGGGGAAAATTTCTGGTTTTCAGACAAACCATCAGCATTTAGAATGTGGAAAATGGGATTAAGGGTAAGCCAATAAATTGCGGGTGACAGCAATAAAATTATGACAGGCAATAAGGAACTCACAAAATTATGATCATCAATAGACTTTTGAGCAATCCAAAATGGATTAAATCTTCTCAGATTCAGTGGATGCATATCAACTGCAAGTTAATTGTTATATAGCGAGGTGATGAAACGGAGGACAGTCTTAATCTCCTAACGAGAGGATTTTTCATAATCAAAGTGGAAACTGAATAGGCCATTCATGACATCCTATTCAATCCCATGAGCTAAGTGAGTGGGCTCCCGAACTAAAGGCATAGGAGGGCGAAAACATCCGACCAAATAGAAGTGACATCATCTGGAACTCCACACACCAATGCTCCGAATTTTCATCTGACCGCTACACAAAAAGTAGTGCTACGTGACCATGATTCAACACATTTACTTGCATGAACATTTCTTCTTCACACGCAGATACAGAACTCGGTTCTTGTCGGAAACGTGACAGAATACTGAACAAGTTAGCTGTCCTATTTAGGCCTTGATAGAGCAGGTTATTCAAATTGCTGGTAGATAGTGAATACCTGCAACCAAGGAACTACTACCTCATATCATATTCACCTGCTACACAGTAAGCATGTAACTTTCCTATAACTCGACGTTTCATACTCTCCGCTCACAGTCTAGTTAGGGCGTAACTTCCGTCAGATACATTTCTTTTTGTCTTCTAATATAGAGGAAGAACCTAGTGATTTTCTCGAAATTAAGTGTCACACTCTATTTTGATATGCTTTTAAGTATTTATTAGAAGAATTGTTGGTAGAATGAACGTCAGTTAATTTGTAACTATACATGTTCTTTAAATGCTATACAAGGTGGTTTGTTTGAGAAATATGGTTTAAAAACCTTTCGAGTTTGTTCTAGCCTGCTGGTATAAGTACAGCCCATCCAAACCGTGTCCTAATAGCACAAGAACTCTTCCTTCTACTTAACCTTTCGTCCAGGAACAAATGGGCTTCGTGTGTATTACACCCAACAAGCAGTATCTTCGCTAGGTACTAACTCTAGTCAAGGGAAATACACAAGATGGAATTATTCTTTTACAGTGTAATTCGCAAGTACCGTTGATCTATGAAATGGCAGTGACTTGCTCATTACAAATACATACGTTTCCATCTAATGAGTAGACTTCAAGCCATACCTGTCGACCTAAAAAAATTACTTCCATCAACCGCTTTGAAGGTAATCGACGCGATTTTTGATGCTAATCCTAAGAATCATAGAGTATCCTACTTGATTTGGGATCATATCGTGAACTTGTCTAGAAAAGCATACTTTTTAACCACCTCGTCGTCACCCTTATGGCCTACAAAGACGAGAACCAGGAACGGATTACCTTTTGGCGGCTTAGTGTACCTACAATGATTTTTTTTCAATTACTAATTCACAGAGCACCGAACCCTCATTGATCTAAGCAGTAAAGAATAATGTCTAACCAGACAACTTGTAATAATATACACCAGATGAGCCTTACAGTTCCCTGATCTATGGCTCTTTTTAGAGCATAGAATGCAAAGACATCCTCCTCTCACTTTCGATCACTTGTCGTTAATTGTTAGGGAAGGGACTGAGGAAAATTTTTAATCATGTGATATCCTTGACAGACCACACATACTGGCTTCACATCCATTATAGTAGATGATATGTCTCGCGTGAAACAGGTTATCTCGTTTGAATTTCGTTTATTATTTGTCACAGTTTGCCCATATCTACTGATTAAAGCTGCTGTGCCAGTCGATACAAACTCTGTCAACTCGAAAAATGTGGGGCTCCTACAAACTTTCTGTCACTACCCAACTGTTCCACCACATTTGATATGTAAATAGGGCGTTAGTCTCTTTATTATATTAACTAGCTCAACCAATTTAAGAGCCGTGGAATGACAATATACATGGACTCGACGCATATCTGGAGATACTTTTGTTAGCATCTCTTCTTCGTTCAAAATTGAGTTTACGACAGACTTCCAAGTACGTTTACCAGGCATTTAAAGCATTTCTAGCGTAGCATTATTCAGTAGATTTAGGCCGTTTTCCAAAAGGCCTTGGGAAGCTCATCTTACGATCTCTTTTTACGCTCTATCATTTGTTTTCATAGTATATTCTTGTTCCATACAAACAGATACATTATGCCAAATAAAAATAAGAAACTGATGAAAGTTCGAATCGAAAGAACGTCCGCACGATATCCAAAATGTAGACGACCCAATATAATAAATTGAAGAACTTGTTGACAAGCTTAAATTCTGCTCTAGTTTGTTTTTGAAAAATGGTCAATTGATGCGTTGGTAAATTAGGACTGAAATGACAATTCACAATGCAAGATTATTCGTAAACTATGAGTAATCAATCTATAGTCCTGACATTATTATTTTGGAAGACGTTGAGATAATAGACCGAAGTTTGTCAACGTATTACCACCACAAATTTTCGCCAAACCGAGTAAACGATTTTTGGATAGATCTTTAAGCGTATCAATAAAACATAAGTGTGAATTAAAAGCATTGTATAGTCCCAAGTTGTGCGAAATTTGAGAAAGGAAAATTCTTCTGAATATCCGAGTAAACGTTCTGCTTTCTTGATCCTACTTTCCGTTTACAAGATTCAGAATCCCATATGTTTTGGGCAACAAAAGTTTCCGAGATGGTGGAGAAAACTTGTAGCTCAGGTGGATGATTGTGGTGGTGTTTGGTTCTCTGAGCTCAGAGAACCAAACACCACCACAACAATAGTTTCCATTTGTCTGTGGTCGCGAATACTTGATGCTACACTGGTCCGAATTTCAACGTTAGTGAGAAAATATGCATTCGGTTTACGGCCTGTAGATAATATGTATTCATAGTATGTGTCCGTGAACTGATAATAACGATATACATAAACAAGCGAAAATACCTTCTGAACGAACAAATTTCAAGTTTACTTAAAATCAATAGGCCAACAGTAAGTTCTACTGTGCCTCTGGTACAAAGACTGATTTAGTGGTAATGTTTCAGTCAAATGGACAATGTAATATTACATTCCATGATAAAAAATAAACTTATCTGAAACCTGATAAGTCTCAAGCGTTTTGAGGCTGTAGTCAAGTACCAGACTAAGTTTATTCATTAATACATTATCGAACGCGTTATTACGTTGAAATCTATATGTATGCATCAAGCTGATCAGATTAGTCGTCTTTCTCTAGTTTACGGTTATAGACTCTAAATGACATGGCTTAAAATAGTTTGCAATGCCGCAGTTGCATCTATTCTTTGTGTTCTCTCGATTCCTAACCTTCTGAATTCCACATTACACTTTTTTAACGTTTATTTTACTAGACTATACTTCTTGAATAATATCTTCGAACCATAATCTCTCCGATTATTGCTGATACTTCTAGTACATCTACTACTATGGGATTAGAAGTGAAAATAGCATATCTGAGCTGATGTGGTATGGCAACTTGAACTGATGATGTATGTACGTACGAAGTTCTACGTTGTACCTGACTGACTGATTTGACGGTTCGATGATGTTCGATGTTTAACAAGTTAGATTTTATTATAACTAACATCAAAAAAAAAAATTAAACAGAGAAGTTTCTTAGAAAATAGATTTATATTTATTTACAAAGAGAAAATAATTACATATATATATATATCGAGTTACTTAATGCCGTGTATTGCGGCTAGCCATTTTTCGAGTTGAAACAGAAGTAACACGACCAGTGTCACAAACAGATTGAGAAGTAATCGGATCTGGTTGTACAGGTCGATCGAGGGCATTAGTAGTAGCCAAAGAATTCCCCAATTCAGCTGATGGATTCACAGTAAGATCGTTAATAAGCCTTGTAATTTGAGTGAATTTATTTATCTTAATTGAATAACAGAATTGATGAAAATACAAGTTAATACAACAAAAACACAAAAGTAATTGGAAAAAAATATATTAGATGAAGATATATAATTTAGATGCACTTCATAGTTTGAGAGCATTGATTACGGCGAATTTTCAAAGCTGTAAAAAATTTTTTAGTAAATTTTATTATTTAAATTAAATTCTTAATATGTGAATGTAGTGAGGTTCTGCAAGTTCATATCAGACACTTACTTACTTACTTACTTACCGACTCCTGTTATCCGCAATGGAGCATAGGCCGCCCACCAGTTTTCTCCAACCAACTCTATCCCGGGCTTCCTTTTCCAGTTCTTTCCAGCTGTCGTTCATTCTTCTCATAACTTTCTCTATTTCTCGGCGTAATGTGTTCCCTGGCCTTCCTCTTTTCCTTTGACATTGAGGGTTCCATGTGAGGGCTTGCCTTGTGATGAAGTTAGGTGCTTTTTTCACTGTGAGTCTTATCCACTTCCACCGCTTCTTCCTGATCTCCTCCTCCACTGGAATCTGGTTTCTACTCTCCCACAGTAAGTTGTTGTTGATCGTGTCTGACTAACAAATCCAAAGTATTTTGCGTAGACAACTGTTAATAAACACTTGTATCTTGTGGATGATGCCTTTGGTAGTTCTTCAAGTTCCTGCTCCATACAGTAGAACTGTCTTGACATTTGTATTGAAGATCCCGATTTTGGTGTTGATTGGTATTTGTTTGGAGTTTCAGATATTTTTCAATTGTAGAAATGCAGCCCTAGTTTCGCCAATCCGCGCCCTTACATCTGCATCGGATCCACCTTGATTGTCGATGATGCTGCCCAGATATGTAAAGGTGTTAACGTCCTCTAAGGTATCTCCATCAAGAATGATTTGGTTGGCGCGTGTTGTGTTGTATCGGGGAATCTCGCTTTTACCTTGATGTATGTTGAGACCTACTGCTGCAGAGGCTGCTGCTACACTGGTCGTCTTCTCTTGCATTTGTTGTTGCGTGTGCGATAGAAGAGCCAGGTCATCTGCAAAGTCCAGATCATCCAGCTACGTCCTAGCTGTCCATTGGATACCGTGCTTCCGTCCAGATGTTGACGTTTTCATAATCTAGTCGATCACCAGAAGAAGGAGAAAGGGTGAGAGTAAGCAACCTTGCCTGATACTGGTCTTCACCTCAAACGAGTTTGTCAGCTGACCTCCGTGCACGATTTTGCAGTTTAATCCATCAAAGGGATTCCGTATGATGTTAACTATTTTCTCAGGCACGCCGTAGTCTCGTTGCATTATTCTTAACTGGTTCAATTCTAATAGTAAGCCGCATTTTGTGAATGACTGATAAGTCGAGATGAACAGACAAGTTCATATCTTAAAACAAAAATATTACACAAACGTGTTTACAATTAAGACATCACCGTAAGTTTAATTTCCAGAATCTCTTTACCAGAAACAATATTTTTATTGTATAACTACTATTAAATACTTGAATGAATGCGTATTTGTATTACATTAGTTGGCAGTTCCCACTGTTGATTGATCACTGATCTACTATATAGTTTGCTTTTATTTACAACATAGTCATGTCTGTTTTGTAACAGCTTACTGATGTGTGGTCAAGATATTACTATACATTATTCTATGAGTTGAGTCGTAGAAACGGACTGCATAATTATAAGTTATCTACCTGGTATGTTGTATTCCATTCTGGCCATTGAGTGAACGAACATAAGACAGCTGCTGCTTATACAATTACACCCTAAACACAAAACTAGAGAAACATCATACATACATACAATTGTTCTCTTGATATGTTTAACATTTTCGCATATTTTCAGTTTCACTCTCCCGTTATATCTACTACTACTTGATAATGAGAACGAGGTAAACGAATATCCAAGCACAATCGTGCATAGCTATATAAAGTAGGATACAAAATTGACCAGTAGCTTAGAAAAGTTTTAGATGAGCAATTCGTGCATTCAATTTCTGTGTATCGAAAGGTTATATTCAATTCCTTATTCTTCAATAGTTGAAGCAACCATTTTGTATATTTACAAATTATGAATGCTAATTTATCACCTTCACCTTTTTTCCCTTTCTTATAAAATTAGCAGTTATCTTTAATTCTATAGATTATTACCTCATATGGCTCTTAATAACAAAATGATGGCTACCTATCTTTATCTTCGAGTAAATAATTTTGATTATGTATGATAATTTTGTAAAATGCCTGCATTTTACTATAGACAACTATATTTAAAAACACTACCTAATAAATGCGATTATATAGCTGAAAAAAGTGACATCCTGTAAAAAGAAAATTTATTTAGCTGTGTCTTTATTCTGTTAGATGGATGAATCAGTGGGTTTATATTATTTTTCTATTAAAATGCTATGCATTTTTACTATACTACTACTATACCTAGTTTAAAATGACTAGTTATTATTATTTTTTCATCTAATTATCACTTTTTGTTATGTTGTATACTTAGAATAAACTTCTTGATTATGTTATTTCTTTTTTTTTATAGGAAATTATTAATTTTCTCTCTTTATATAGACAGACAAACAGACAAATACAACGCAGAACTTAAGTAAGTAAGTACATCAGTTTAGGTTGCCATACCACATTAGCACAGAGACGAAAATGTCAGTTCAAATCCAACAGTGATAGCGATAGTAGAAATATTAGCAGTAATGGAGAAGTTTAGGGAACGAAGATATGATTCGAGAAGTATAATTCAGTGAGGTAAATTTAGAAGGAGAAAGATAGAGATTATGACGAATTCAGAAGGTTAGAATTAGAGAGAATACAAAGAGTGGATGCACCTGCACCATTGCAAACGGTTTTGAACCATGTCATTCAGGGTTTCTATCCATCGTTTATTATCATCTCGTGGACCCGAACCAGATAGTTGACACCTACCAACATGACTCAATCCACTTGTCAGTGACTTCATGCATTTCTGCCATGTTTTGGTTTGGCCGCCCCTAGCTTTCTTCCAACCAACTCCTACACCACAAAGCGGTTAGGATTCCTGGCTCTCTTTATACACACTTTAATAAAGATAATATATTGTCCACTGTAATAGTGATGTGTTCGGGAATTTCGTGTGCTATACATTTATCAAAACACTATGTATTAGTATTTTATGCTTAAATGATTATAATGAATAAAAACAAACATTAACATTTACAATTGTACATCAACCCGAGCACTGCTCTAAATTTTAACAAAACTTATCAAACAAAATTAAGATTTTCAGTTAGAGCTTTGGAGATTTGTATTTTTACACATTTGAAATCATCAATCAATCATCGTTAGACCACCATTAGAAACCTGGAAGCACTGGACGGCCGTTTCGTCCTGGTATGGGACTCATCAGCAGTGCGCATCCACAACTCTTGCACTTCGCAGGATTCGAACACGAGACTGTTGTGTAAATATGAATCGAAACTATTGTATTCATGGTGAAGTTGGAAATAGTATCTTTATAACCCTGATTTATTCTCAAGTTGTTTGCGAATAATTTAAATAATAATAATAACTTCGAACCTTAATCTGTACACCACTATGACATTTGAACTGACAGTTACGTCTCTGTGTTGATGGGGTATAACAACCTGAACTCATGTACACTCATGTAGAAAGTTCTACGTAACTGAATGACTGATAATAATAAACAGTTGCTTAGATTATTATCAAGCCAATAACATATTTGCAGTTCAGCATTAACTAGGTGGTTTTTAGAATTTTCCATTAGATATATTTTTATGAAGGTAAACCAAGTTATCACCAAGTTATCGTGAGGGTAAGAGTATATTGTTGTAATCAACACAATTCTTAAGGTTACCTGATAGTTTGCAGTTTATTCATTTATTTTGAAATAAGATATGAGTGATAATGATTAATGGTTAATATTTCAACTTGTCTTACGAGAGATCCATTATATTCTATATATAAAGTTAGAAGGAAAATTGTTAACTATAGACTGACTCATGAAAGAGCTTAAACCAAAAATTTGAATCATTTAAAGCGAAGATTTAAAAGTTATTTTATTACGGGGTTGTGAAGATTGTTAAATTACACATTTGAAATCGTGAATCGATCAATGTTAGACCACCATTAGAAACCTGGAAGAAGCACTGAAAGACGGCCGTTTCGTCCTAGCATCGGACTCATCAGTGGGGCAGTGAACACCCACGACTCCTGTACCACGCAGGACTCGAACCAAGGACCTACGGTCTTGCGCACGAACGCCTAACCTAGTATCTAACGGAGTTAATGTCTAACTTCGATCAATTATTTATGATGCATTATGAAATGCGCACCGATAAATAAAAAAATAAACACAAATACATAAAGTAGTATTATTCGTACAAAAAAAAACCACATACTTGTGCAGTTTGAACTTGAATTTGATTTTGAGCCTGATTTAATTGGTTTCGATAATCATCAATTGTCAAATCCATAGATCTAATCTGTTCACGTGCAGCTTTTAATTTATTTTGAAGAGTTTCCACTTTTGATTCGGATTCTAAAACAAAAATTTACATGCAAAATAAACAGACTTAAATAACGAATAGATTAACCGGGAATATATATTTGTAGTTATCCATTGAGCTACAGTAAGAAGTACTGATTATACGGTTTGTGTTTAACACAACATTAATTTCGAAATCAATTGCTTAAGGGATCTATGAAACATTGGCACTCTAAATTTATATTCAACAATTTAGTTATTATGTTAGGAAGGATTAAAATTTTTCAAAGTCCGACTAAAATGCACAGAAATGAATCAAACCGACCCCTAAGTTAAATGACACAACGTTTTTTTCCACATCAGCAAAACATTTCATGAGATTTTGGCGATGAAGATGTATCAAGAGGTTCGAGCTTTCTGTATTTTGCAACCATAAAATATTTATAACCTGTTTATGATTGGGAATGTTGAATAAATTCATACAATTGGTCCCCTTTATAAGTTTGAATAAAGTTAAGACAACAGTTGAGGTTGAAAAATATTAATTTCATCATTATAGGGTAGTGAAGGTTGTTGAGCTGCTTTAAAATCATAAGTCGATCAATGTTAGATCATCATTAGAAACTTGAAAAAACTGGTCAGTCGTTTCGTCTTAGAATGGGACTCATCAGCAATGTACAACCACAACTCCCGCATGCGGGAATCGAACCAAAGTCCTTTTGTGTCGCATGCGAATGTTTAACCTCTAGGCATCCAACAGTGCTAATGTTTACTTCTAATCATTCCATGATTTAGATTTTATATTTTGTGATCGTTCTTTAAATGCTTACAACTGTAAAAATGTAATGTTAAATAATAGATATTACTGATAGCAAAATTTAAAATGATAATGAATACCAGTACTATAGATATGTAAACATGAAATCAGTCAGTCAGTTGTAACGTAAAATTTCGTGCGTACGTACGTACATCAGTTCAAGTTGCCATACCATGTTAGAACAGAGATGCAATCGTCAGTTCAATCCCATAGAGGTAGAGATAGTAGAAGTATTAGCGGTAACGCGGAAGATTAGGGTTTGTTCAAAGAAATTATCAAACAGGTGATGAGGAATTCAGAAGGTTGGAATTTGGGAAAACACGAAGAGTGGACGAACCTGTGCCATTGCAAACAATTTTGAGGTGAGGTGTGATATTTTTAGAGTCAACCTTTTCTAGCTCCCTTCTTCCTTGTGAGGTAGTATCGCTGCAGATGCTGGTTGTCTGAGAGAAACACCTTACTGCTGTCACACCCTTCTACAGTCAGCAATACGACTTTGCCCTTAAACCTTAAGTTGTTGCTAGTAGTCTTGACGTTCTCCAGTCAACCTGCTTAGCTCAGTAGAATCTACAGAAACATATGTTTTAGCCAATATAGCCCGGTTGGGTCATCACGATAGGCAATCTAGACCACAACGACAAGGTAGCAGCTATACATGAAGTAAGTATATGTTAGTCTACTTGAAGTTATATGATATAAAACCTAGAGGAGTGAGACAGTAATCATCTAGAAATTCAAAAATTAATCAAAAGGGTTATGCAATAGTTAGTAGATTTCCAACATTTAAATAAGTAATAAAATGTGGTGAGATGTAAGGATGGGTGAAAAAAATTAACACTTTATTCAGCGAAAACTAAAATAATTGAACATAATTTTGAACAGAATTATAAATTCACCCTGTTAAAGACTAATGACTTATGAGTGTGTAAATTTACTAAACTTTTTCGGTAACAACCGATATAGTCAAACGTAAACATGTGATATTTTCTTGTTTGTTGATACTTTTGAATGGTTCATGAATGTTGATGTTGATTTGATATTGAGCTATGGCACCTTTGAATCTCAAATACGTAATACGAGTATTATGTTCAAGTATTATTATTATTGCTTATATTTATTATATAATCTTAGCTTAGCCTAATGTTATTTAATTCGAGGCAAGCTGACAGGAGCATTTTTGGCCAATCAGTGCTGGCGGATAGCTGAAGGTTCTAAGTTATTCTTGTGTAAAATTTATAAGATAACATTTTCACTACTATGATTCGTTTGCATCCAACTGGTCAGAATAAAACAATTATCTGTTCAAGCAATGTTCTAATTTTGAGGACTATTTGAGCATTGTACAGTGTCGAGGAATAATACTAAACAATAAAAGTAACGTGCTGTGTATGGCGATTAAATTTAATTTCCATGTGTCCTTGTTTCGTTGACCCATCCGGTTATCAGTTTAGGTTTTCTAATAGTCCAATTGAGAACTTGTTTTATTATGAATATAAACCAAGTCGGATTCAAAGCAGAAGCATTTCACACATTTTATTACAGCAGTCATGTCTGTTCACTTACCTATATATAAAAAAACGAGGTTACAAGATGTTTGCGATGTAAGCGAAATTATTAACAAGAATACAATGTCAGTGATGCAAATCTGTTTCCAAGCCTCGTCGATCTATGTTTTGCGATGTAGGAATAGGTTGGAAGAAAGTTAAGGGCGGCCAAAACAAAACATGGCACAAATCCATGAAGTCACTAACAAGTGGACAGAGTCATGTCGGTAGGTATCGACTACTTGGTTGGGGTCCGCGAGATGACAGTAGTCAATGGTTAGAGACCCTGAATGACATGGCTCAAAACCGTTTGCAATGGCGCAGGTGCATTCATTCGTTGTGTTCTCTCAAATCGTAACCTTCTGAATTCCTCATCACCTCTGTCTTTCCCTTTCTAAGGCTATCTCACTGAATTATACTTCTTGAATAATATCTTCGAACTCTAATCTTCCCGACTACTGTTATTAATTCTACTATCTCTACCACTATAAATTTGAATTGATAATTGCATCTCTGTGCTGATATGGTATGGCAACTTGAACTGATGTACGTATGTACGAAGTTCTACGTAGTCGTCAACTGACTGACCGAAATCTGTCTTCAATGAGTTTACTTTAGTTCAATAAATAATAAATTGCTATGAATTTTGATGTACGCAAATGACTAGGATTGTTAGTTAGAGTACATTTAATAAGCACTACTAGTAGAGGAGAATAATAATAGCTTCATGTTAGAATTCTCAGACACCAATTCACTCGAGACGATTTCTCAAATCACAGCAAGGTTGAACAGGAAATAGATTATATTCCAATAACAAGGTTAGAAGGAAGACAGAAGATCAAAAGAAAAAGACGTTAGTATATTTTTATAGTTTTTACATGAGAGGATTCTAGAATGTTCCCCATACCTCGTTTAGAGCTGATTGGATACGAAAGAACCAATCAGCGTGCAGCAATGCAATCCATATATCGCTAACATTAACTTCATATTTATGTAGTCCAATTATCTTAAATGACAAGTTAACTCAACATCTTTTATTTCATAAAACAAAAAAACCCTTACATATTAAGACAGATTATCAAAAAAAATATATCTAAAGATATTATGATATACTACTAACAGAAGTTAACAGCCATAGACACTTAAAAGATTTCTATTTTTTAATGACATGAGCAAGAAGAATGTTTTTAATTATTTTCATGAATGAATAATAAGCTATTGGTAATTTAACTACTAATATAATCTATAAAAATTATTATTGAAAAATAATAATAATCATTTAAATGTAACATATGAATACCTTCATAAGATTTTTGTTTAACTTCTAATTGTTCATTGAGTTCAGTAATTTTATTATTGAATCTAGAAAAATTTCACAAACAGTAAAATATAACACAATAATAAAAATGTTAAACTAGTTAGTAAGAAGACAAACATTATTGGATGAAAACGTAGTAACCAAAAAAAAAAACACAAGTTATTGTCTTGTAGTTGATTTTAATCATTTATTAATGATAATTTATGAACAGATCATGGGCAAACTTTTAGGTTTTGAGGAGTCAAACTTATAATAATTTGTTGGGGATGTTAGATCCCCAAAACTCATTTGGAAAAGGTCCTCATTTTGTAATTTCATCAGGAAATTTTGAATTTCTATGTTTTCTCGACAAGAGACGCTCAGTTCACCTACAGTTTACATTTCCGATTCGGAAAATCTTTCAGTGTCATTTGTTGGTGGATTATTTTAGTACGTTGTTTTGTGGCTCTCACCAAGGGCGTTTCTATCATTGTATAAATAAGTTTGATTTGTGTGCTTAGCAACCTCGTATTTTCTGGGTGCTTGTAGAATACACACTCTACGCCTTATCAAGACTTCTTGCTTTTGTTAGCAAGATCTGAGACAATGGTTTAGAATAGCCTACTGTGTTACTGTATCGGTGAACTTCACTCTCATTTACCGAGTAAGGTGAACTCGTAATAGCATTCAAGCATATCAATTGGTGAGCATATCATTATTATGTAACTTTAAATGTATACGTCATTTGTGTTGTATAAGCAGTCCTACTTCCTATATTCAATAATTGGCAACCATTATGAATTCCATGAGGTAAAGTTAGAACATAAAAGACTGGTGAAATAAATATGCATTGATTCATCAGAAAATATCATCATGAGACCTATAATGATCTTTACATACAATTAATAATGTTGAATACAGGGAGAAAAATACAAAGTTACTGCAGAAATAGACACACTAATTGTAGATCACCTGGATCGGTTAAAAAAAAATATACATATCACAATGAAAGTTCACACCTGTCATATTAGATGTACTTCATATTGACTTGTTGTAAGAAAAATAGTGATATGAAATAATAATGTAATGCTCATCAATTGATATGCTTGAAATTATTACGAGTTCACCTAAGTCGGTAAACGAGAGCGAAGATAAATGATCCTGTCACACGATAGGCTACTCTAATCCGAGCGTCCCAAGGCCACAACTAAGAAGAGAAAAAAAGTCTTGATATGGCGTTGAAAGTGTATTCTACAAGCACCCAGAAAATATGAGGTCGACAAGAACACAAATCGAGTTCATTTATACATGATAGAAACATCCTTGGAAGAGCCACAATAATAGCGTACTGAAATAATCCATTAACCAATGATAGACAAGCATTTTCCGGGTGGGAAATGTAATCTCAAGGTCAACTGGTCAACCCATGTGCGGAAGCGTAAAATCCAAAATTAGGACCTTTACCAAGTGAGTTCTTGAGATCTAACGTCCCCAACAAATAGTGTCACATTTTCATCTTTTCATATTAGGATGCATTAAGTGTTTTATATACGAAATATAGGATTTAAATGGTACATAAGATTTACTCTATAGTGTCCTTTTTTGATCATACAACAAATTTAAACAAGTGAAATCGTCAATGTAAAACTGAACTGAATATAAATACAACAACCGAGCAGATATAGGTTATATGTAAGTGAATTTGTAGCGCATCCACATTTATCACCGTTCGGTGTGTGTGTAGATTATATAGTATTTTCCAATGTTCTTGCGTTCATATGATGGGTGAGTGCTAGATGTATGAGTATGATTTTTACCCAGCGTTTCACTTTCAGCTTTAACCTTCACTATTTTGCATTTTTCATTTGAGAAGTTTGGATGTGCCACAGTCGTGTTTTTTTAGAAGACTTATTTAGGTAGCTTAAGATGACTGAGGTGAGAACAGTAGCGATAATAATGTCTTTGATTATGATCGTGTGCTGTTACGTGAATGAATGCGGATGTCACTTTCCGGCTGTCCATACCGTGGAAGGGTGTTTCTTGAAGAACCTGTAAAGGAAGGAAGGTTAGCGTTGGTCTTGGAGACCTGGGGACGTGACCGCAGAGCCCAAGTGACAACTGCTTGAGGCCAGTCACGCACGGCCTTTTTATGAGAAGTTTTTGAAGTGTTAGCTCCGCTGTTGTTTAAAAGGCTTTACCGCCGGAGACGGAAATCCGTAAGGTAAGGTGAGTTGTGACGTTTTCAGGGTCAACCTTTTCTAACCCCTTCCTTCTTTGTGAGAAGGCAGCATCGCAGCAGTTTCTGATTGTCCGAGGGAAACACCTTACTGCTGCCACACCCCTCTACTATCTCTGTATGCAGCATTTATTTACTAAATCAACGGAAAAATATCCAAAAATTCTAGATAATGCATTATTATTGAACACAGAAAATGGTTAACCTTACATACTAAATTACCGAAGTGATTATTAATGGATTCTTATCAACCTACTGGGCTGATTATATCGTAAAAAGTGTAACATTTCTTTTGCGTTCCGATCGCTTATTCACTGTGCAGAAAACTACCGGTGCAGTAAACATGGTGAAGTTGTGTATGCGCATACGATGACTAAGAAAACTTTGTAAACAAAAATCGTTGGGAAGTTGCCGAAACTTTATTAAAAGCTAGCAATAATTAGGCAATATGCCTACTTGAGTAACATTCAATTGATACTAGACAAAAACAAATGGATGACAAAACGAAGTTTAGCTAAAGTGACAAACGTCTGAGGAATTTCAAAGAAGCTTTCGATCAAAAGAACGACGATGATTGACAAGTGTTTAATCACAAAAACGGTAAGAGTTTTTCAAAGGACGACTTTCGAAAAGCAAAACTTTCATGATCGCAAAAAAAGTGTATTCAATGGACAAACTTTATGGTCATTGGTCTAATCTCAATACTCAAGAAAAAAAGATCGAACTACATTTTGACGAATTTCTTATCATATGCATTACGGGGTTGTGAAGATTGGTAAGTTACACATCTTCACAACCCCATAATGCAAATTACCTGCGCAACTCCGTGAATTTGATCAAGTTAGACATTAACAACGCTAGTTACCGGCTCAGTGGTCTAACGGTTAGGGCGTTCGCGCACAATACCGAAGGTCCTTGGTTCGAAACCTACGGGGTACAGGAGTCGTGGATGCGCACTGCTGGGGAGTCACATACCAGGATGAGAAGGCCGTCCGGTGCTTCAAGGTTTCTAATGGTGGTCTAACATTGGTCGATTCATGGTTTCAAAAATGAGTTCTTATCATATGTTCAATGGTTATCTTAATTAATCAATGATCAGTTTTTTTTTTAAAAAAAGGACTAATATTAATTACTTCTCAATTTGTTCTGTTGCATTGGATATTTGTTGTTTATAATGATGTATATTACTGATCGAATCCATTTGTAGCATACGTAATTTAGTTGACTCGTATTCAACTAATTGCAGACGTTGTCGATAATAATCGCATAGTTTATGTGCACTCAATGAGGCTTCAGCATTGATTTCAGCATTTTTTTCTAGGATTTTTTCACGGGACTGAAATAAATTTTGAAGAAAGTTCAAGAAGAAACAAGTAAACTACATCAAGACAAAAGAATTGTAGAATATTTGTATTAAGGAAATGTTATTCATAAGCAAAAAATATTTTCCCAATTTTTTGTTGGATTACTATGCTTTCAAATTTTGTAAATTAAGTGACAAAAGAAGTTTATTGACAAGTAAGTCGTATGTATGATCAGAAGAGTAGTTATATTAAAACTAAACAACTTAGGAACATTGACAGGAGAGTTGGGGGAATATTTCATTTCACTTCAAATCCTGATTTATAACCCAGTGTGGACAGATTTTCTAACAATATAATGTAAACACCAAAATACTTAGCTTCGAGTTTAATTTACATTTATGTGCTAGTGATAAAACTCGATTGGATGAACTAAAGTAAGTGAGAGATAAATTTGGAATCATCTATAACCACATGATTAGAAGACAATAATTACTTCAAACAGTGGGGTTACTTAACCAGTATAATTCAACTATATGATTGATTCTATTATTGAGTGATAGAGGTTGATTCCACCAGGGAGAATCAGTTCCCTCAGGATGACAGATGCAGGCTATTGATTGATGCCGAACAGTACGAAACCGTGTATCCGGAGTTTCTTGTTAATTACCTCCAAACACTACCTTTCACCTTAACACAGTACATGCAATGTCCAGTCATTTAAACTATTAGTAGCCACATTGCAACTTGATGGATAGAATTCGATCAGCACTAAGAAGGGCATCTGTTAAAATAATCACTCATCAATTATCAGTCAATTATAAGTTGGAATTGAAATTTGATTAAAAAGAGTTTTTATTTCGCCCACATAATTTTTTTTTTGATCACCATGTTAATCGATGACTTCTTATAGTTCTATGAAGTGAAAGATAATGTACTAAAAGCAGCAGTTTTAATTGCTTTTCAATACAATCAATGTACCATTCTAGTTTGAATGGTTGAATTATTTGTTTTAGCTAGAGTAGGTTTTTGACGAGATGGGATCGCTAGTCCCATGCCTAATCCCCTCCCGCTTGATTCGGACCGGCAGTAACCCCAGACAGGCTCCATGTGGAGTGTCATTAGTGTATTAAATTACCTAGTTAAGTCATTAAAAATACAACTTAAAAAAGAATTATTTCACATGAGAATATGTAATAAAAATATGTATAAAAATAGGCTAAACTATGATTATTAATTAATCTAATTTTTATAGATTAAACTTACTTGTAACAGACGGATTTTGTATTCATACATGGATAATGTTAGTTTTATATCGTCCGTAGTCTGATAGAAAGAAACATAAAATAACAATGTGTATTTAAAACGAACATGATTTTCAAACAGAAAGACTGACAAGATTACATGTTTTTAATCTATTATTATTTCGAACTGAAGAAAGTCATTTATCGACTATATTATGTCATTAAGAGAGTACAGTTAAAAACTGGAAAGAAAATGCTACATTTTTATTATGTTCGTCACTTAGTCGATAAACGCGAACGAGAAAACTACCAGCGTCCAGATAGGATAACTTGAATCCCAGCGCAAGACAGGAGGTCCTACGGACGAATCCTGTGAGTAGCAGGAGTCGTGGATGCGCATTGCTGATGAGTTGCAGACCAGGAAGAAACGGCCATCCAGTGCTGTCAGGTTCCTAATGGTGGTCTAACATTCTTTATCATAGGTGTTTCCGAAGTATTGCCCGTGTATCGTGGGACAGACGAGTAAGCAACGCAGTTATTAGGAAGCGGGTGCTAGGTAGAGATGGCAGATCAATAGATGAAGTAGTGAAACCTCATCAGTTGAGGTGGTCGGGACATGTGTTATGTATGCCTAACCACCAACTGTCTCAACGAGCACTGTTTTGTGGTGTAGGAGTAGGTTGGAAGAAAGCTATGAGCAGTCAAAAAAAACATGGCACAAATCCATGAAGTCACTGACAAGTGGATTACGACATGTTGGTAGATGTAGACTACCTGGTTAGGGTCCGCTAGACAATAGTAATCGATGGTTAGAGACCCTGAATGACATGGCTTAAAACCGTTTTTAATGGCGTAGGTGTATTCATTCTTTTTGTTCTCTCAAATGCTAACCTTCTGAATTCCTCGTCACCTTTACCTTTAACTTCTAAGTTTATTTAACTAGATCATACTTCTTGAATAATATCTTCGAACCCTGAAATTTACGATGACTGCTAATACTTCTACTACTACCTCTACTACCATGGGATTTGAAATGACAATCACATCTGTGTGCTGATGTGATATAGCAACTTGAACTGATGCACGTACGTACAAAGTTCTATATTGTTATTTACTTGACTTGATTAAAGCATACTGAACATTGTCAATGTTGAATAAGAAATTTAAATATTTTTATTTGCCAGATTACGGATTCAAAAAAAATTAATGTTATTAAACTTAGTGAACTATGACAAAGTATTAACATAAATATATGGATACTTTTTGATATATTTAAAATTTAAACACGTCAGTCAAATTTCCAATGGACAACTCCCATAGTAGTAGGTAGATAAGGAATAGTAGATTAAAGCACGGCCCAGTGGTCCAGAGGTTGGATGTGCGCGCACAAGACCGGAGGTCCCGGGTTCGAATCCTGCGAGGAGCAGGAGTCGTGGATGCGCACTGCTGATGAGTCGCATAACAGGAAGAAACGGCCATCCAGTGCTTTCAGGTTCCTCGTGATGGTCTAACAATGATTGATTGATTGATTTCAAATGTGTAAATACGATATTTAATCAAGAATAATACTTACATAATTATCATCATTATCATTCAATTTTTGTTTAGCCAAAAATTTGTCAATATTCTGTTCTAATAATTTCATTTCTGATGAATCTGGATGAGATGATTTTAGATCAGTTGATCGATGATTAGTTGATTTCAATTTATTTATATCTTCATTAGCTAATGAACGAAACCATTTATTTAAAAATAGAGGTTTAATTTTATTTGGTTGTTGTTCATGATGATGATGATGAGAATAAGAATGATTATGATATTGTTCATCGGATAGAAATTTCAGCAATTTATTTCCATCACAATGTCCAAACGGATTGATGAGTTGATTGAATAAAAATACAAATCTAGAAAATGACAATTTACAAAAAAAGAAAAATGATGAAGGATGAGAAGTTAATGATTATGTTCTGTAGTAAAGTTTTGTTAGGATATTCACCCAATATCCTAAGAGAATTATTGGTCGATTCCTATTGGTTAATTCCTACTGGTCAATTTTATGGTCGTCCTAGATATCAATGACACATAATCCAATGTTGTTTCTTATTCGTTGTCCTGACGATCAATGTTACTTCCTATTGGTCGTCTTAACTGTCATTGTCACAGACTTCGATGCTGTTTCCTATTCGACCAAAATGCATAAATACGCATTATTTGTAACGTTTTATGACCATGACCAGGACCCGGTCCTGAATCCTGATTCTCTTCTGGATTCGGACCTCGTACTTTCTGGATGCTTGTAGAATACATGTTCTACTTCATATCAAGTCTTCTTATTTTTACTTATTATGGGGGAGGAGGGGTGGGATAATTGGATTTGAGTAGTATGTCGTGTCACCGGATCCTCGATCCTCGCTCTCGTTTTCAGACGAAGGTAAACTCGTAATAGTTCAAGTATATCAAGTTGACGTGTTACGTGTAGGCGTAACAGATTCAAAATAGAAAGTACTAATTAATTCATTTCCCACCAATCAATCAATCAATCGGAAGTAGTGCACATATGGAAAAAAATGCTAGAAGATTATTGTATAAATTCTGTATACACATCGATGTCATTTAAGTAATTAGAATTCTGTTGTTCATCATCATCATCATTAACAGCAACGTAGAACTTCTTACGTACATATATCAGTTCATGTTGCCATACCACATTACCACAGAGATGTGATTGTCAATTGAAATCCCATCGTAGTAGAGGTAGTAAAAGTATTAGCAGTAATCGGAAATTTTAGGATTCGAAGATTTTAGTTAAGAAGTAGAATCTAGTGAAATAAACTTAAAAGATAAAGATAAAGGGGATGAGGAATACTGAAGGTGAGAATCTGAGAGAACACAAAGAGTGGATGCACCTGCACCGTTGCAAACGATTTTGACCCATGTCATTCAGGGTCTCTAACGATCGATTACTATCATCTCGTGGACTCCAACCAGGTAGTCCACACCTACCAACATGGCTCAGTTCACTTGTCAGTGACTTCATGGATTTGTGCCATGTTTTGGTCTGGCCGCACCTAACTTTCTTCCAACCTATTTCTACACCACAAAATATAGCTCGACGTAAAGCGGTCTACACACTTGACTACTTCACTCCCTATCACTAGTTCAGGTACCGATGCGACTCGATCTCGAAGCAACATTTCGCATTTCGAGGAGGAAAACCACATTCCAAACATGCTTGCATTGTTGTTCAAGGTGGTCAGAAGACTCTGCATTTTGTCAGTCTTCACCGAATAGGGCTATTTCATCAGCATATTCTAAGTCAGCCAGAGTGTCTCCTGGTAAAAGGTCCACTCCTAATTAATACAACTCGACACAATAAAAAAATGGCGCGAATTAAAAGCAAGACTTAATAATAATTCTAAGATAGATCTATTGCCGGTCAACCAATTGATTTCAAAAAACTATCTAGTTAATAGAAATTCAAATAAGTCGAACTACGTTGTAGTTGATATAGACTATTTGAGCAAACTAGAATCCATTCTATTTTCAGATCACACTATGGTGTGTTGTAACATTTCAGCAGACATATAAATCAATTTTTTTGTAAATTAAGTGCCTTAAAAAATAGTTTACTGTTTAGTTTTAAGTCAATCTTTTAAGGATTGTATGTGATTATCTTCCGAAACAGTGCTACGTAAGACTTTTGTCCAGTCCCATAGAATGTTACCGAGTATTGAGTTCATTATTTATTTAGTAAATGAATGCATATATTATTCATAAGTAGTTTATGTGAGTAAGCTACAATCGATCAAACGGCTTGAAAACTACTTGATGACTATAAACAGAAGTTCTAGACTTCACGAATCAATGCTGTCTCAGTCTCGTAACCTTCAAACTATACTAGCTATTCTATAACTTCATTAACTTGGGATATTTTTTTCACTTTACTGTACTTTCAGTATTCCTTCATACATACCGCTGGATGCGATTCTCCCTACCGAAATACAAAACGTTGCTTCAAGATTGGTTTGCATCGGCACCTGAACTAGTGATAGGGAGTGAAGCAGTTGAGCGTGTAGACCGCTTCACCTATCTCGAGAGTTTCATCAGAGCTGATGACCTGGTGACTGACGGAATCTCGGCACGGATACAGAAGGCTCGATTGGCTTTTGAAAACTTGGGCACCTAAAGCGCAGGCGAGATATCTGTTTGCTGACTAAAGGACGAGTGTACTATGCAGCAGTTCACTCCGTCCTAATATACGGAAGCGAAACATGGTCCGCGAGAAAAGAGGACATTCGTACATTGCTTGTCTTCGATCATAGGTGTCTCCGAATCAATGTTCTTATATCCTGGAATAGCCGAGTTAGCAATGTTGTCGTTAGGAAACGAGTACTTGGTAAGGATGGCAAATAAATTTCATCAGTTGAGGTGTTTAAGACGTGTGTTACGTATGCCTAACCACCGACTGCATCATCGAGCTATGCTTCGCAATGCAGGAATAGGTTGGAAAAAAGCTATGGGCGGCCAGATCCAAACATGGCACAAATCATGAAGTCACTGACTCGTGTTGGTAAGTGTCGACTACCTGGTTGGGGGTCCGAGAGACGAAAGTCACCAATGGTTAGAGACCTTGAATGACGTGGCTCAAAATCGTCTGCAATGGTGCAGGTGCATCTACTCTTTGTGTTCTCGCAGATTCTAACCTTCTGAATTCCTCATCACCTCTATGTTTCTATTTCTAAAGTTATCTCACTGAATTATACCCTAATCTTCTCCATTACTGCTAATACTTCTACTATCTCTACCACTTTTGGATTTGAACCGACAGTTGCGTCTCTGTGCTAATGCAGTATGGTAACCTCAACTGATGTACTTATGTACGAAGTTCTGTGTTGTATCTGTCTGTCTGTCTGTATTCATCATCGTTTAATAATGGCAAAATACAAGTGGTAATCTTGAAATAATTCTAACTATACTACTACTAGTGCACATTCTATCATTACAGTAGAATAAATGTTTATTCAAAATAGATATCATAAACAGTGAATAATATGCACAATTAATATTAATTTATAAAGAATAAGTATACACAAACAAAATATTTGTTTACCGATTATGATCAAATTTTTCAACATGATAAACTACATTCAACAATTGGAAAACATCTTCACGTGTCTGCAATCCCACACCTAGAATATCATGATTCTGATAGAAAGGACTAGATGCGGTTAAGCATAATGCTAATAGACCAGGCATTTCTGGACGTTCAATAAGTGATTGCAATGAATAACCACATTGTCGAGCAATATTTTGTGTAAACTTTAAATCATTGTTTAAATGATGTTTAATTGGTGTGTCTTGTGTAAGCGATACTTCATTATCCTCCTCATCGTCATCATCTTGAGTAGTAGTGACAGGTGCACAGGATGACAATAATTCAGTACAATGAAAAAGAAGACCTATTGATTCAGTTGAAAGTGCACAAGATAAGAGGCTAAAGAGTGACAGAAACAGAAAGAAAAGAAATGAGAAAACACAATAAATATTTTTAGAAAGTATATGATGATAAAAGATAACACAACATTTAGAAAATCAATATCGACGCACTCTACAATTCGATCAAGCAGACGCTGTCACGACTCATTAATTATCAAGAGGCAGCTGAGGAAAACATGATGATCGCATCTGTCAGTAGAAGATCACGCAGAATGTTATCTGACAACCGCAATTCGCGCATTACCGGTGTCTGCAACAGACAAACAAAATGCTTCTAGAAACGACCCCATCATCAAGATGACGATGAAATATGTCACTAACGGTTGGCCGTCGAAGAAGTTTGAAGGTGACATGAAGCAACTGTATCAGCGGCGGGAGTCACTATGCATCGTGAAAGATTGTCTGATGTTTGGTGAGAGAGTAGTGGTGCCAGGATCCCTTCGTGCAAAAGTGCTGAGACAGTTCCATCTCGGTCATCCTGGGTTTACGCGAATGAAGTCCATCGCCAGGAGTTATGCATACTGGCTTCACATGGATCAAAATGTCACAGAGTTGGTTGAAAAATGCATGTGGTGTCAGCAGGCGGCAAAGATGAATGCCGAAATTCCGCCGGTTTCATGGCCCAAACCTGAGTATCCTTGGTCCAGGAAACATGTCGACTTCGCTGGTCCAATTAATGGAACTATGTATTTAATTGTGGTCGACGCCTACTCAAAATGGCCAGAAATCAGCCCCGTTATGCCGCCCACTACAACTAAGACTATACGGCTCCTAACTGAAATTTTCTCACGAAATGGCATACCAGGTGTGATCGTATCCGACAATGGCTATCAATTCACCCCTTCCCAATTCCAAACTTTCTGTCAACGGCTAGCCATTAAACACTTACGCTCGCCACCATACCACCCGCAATCGAATGGGCAAACGGAAAGGTTTAAGGATACGTTTAAAAGAGCATTGCTTAAGTCAGAAGGGGAGAGGACACCAGCTGACGCGTTACAAAATTTCTTGTACGTCTATCGGACAACACCAAATGAATTGTTACCGGAGCAAACGTCCCCAGCAGAAATTCTGATGTGAAGATTGAAAACGACCCACAGCCTGATGCAACCGACTAATGCACCAACATCAGTAGAGACAAAGCCGCGAAGACAATCCGTTTACGAAGTGGGATGCCCTGTGTTTGCCCGCGACTACAGAAGGAACCATGGTCCTAGGGTAGAAGCGAGAGTGGTCAGAAGAGTTGGTCGAGTTATGTACGAAGTAGAGGCAGGAGGTGAAAAATGGTTACGTCATCGGAATCAGATACGCAGACGGCTAGCCCCAGATCGCCCAACAAGAGCAGAAAACCTTCCCCTTGACATCTTGCTTGATACCTTCAACCTACCAGCAGCCCCCTTACGAGAAGAAACCCAGTCACAAGCTGATCACCGTTCCAGAAGGTATCCTCCCAGACAGCGGAGAACGACAGTCAAGATGCAAGTCGACCCTAGGAGCACACGCTATTAAAAAGGGGAGGAGTGTTGGGGATGTTAGATCCCTCCAGAACTCGCTTGATAAATACCTTATTTCGGATTTCACGTTTATCAGCATAGGCTGATCAGTTGACCTTGAGACTTCAAATCCCACCACGAAGATCCATGGCTGTGATTGGCTGCTGTGTCATTTTAGTGTGCTATTTTCGTAACTGTCCCAAGAACGTTTCTATGATGTATAAATAAACGAGAGTTGTGTGCTTGGTTGTATTGTGATTGCTGGGTGTTTGTAGAAAATACTTTCTACGCTCACCAAGCCTTCTGTTTACAGCTTGGGATTCAAGGCAGCCTATCTGGACGCTGGTAATTGTCTCGTTCGCGTTTATCGACTAAGGTAAACTCGTAATAGCTTCAAGCGTACCTAGTGACGAACATAACAAAAAAAACAGTTAACTCACCATAGATCAATATCGGATTTATTAGTCATCATTGGATGATGATCAACAACACGTAGATTTTCATGATTACTATTATGATCATCATTATTTAAAAGAATTTCAAGCAATCGATTATTATCCAAATGATTATGTACTAATTGACATAGAAAATTACTTAAAATAGGAATTTGTGAAAGAATATCTGATTCAGTTAAATTTAATGCAGGCGTTGTAGCAGATATATCAATTCGGAAAAGATGAATTAAATGTTTCAAGTGTCGAATTAATAGTTGAGCTCTAAAAATATGACCTGATATAAAAATTCGATTCCAATAACAACAATCATTAGCAGTTTTTAAAGAATCTGATAAATCACCAATTTTTCGTAATGCTTCAACAGTTCTGACAAATAAAAAGTCACGTGGTATACTGACATCGGTTGAATTTTTTGTGTTGGGCTAAGAAAGAAAAAAGGAATACAACAATGAATAAGATTACACATCTACTGGCATAATGAAAAGTGAAATAATCACATTTTTTAATGACTATAAATGCTGATGAGTGACATACCGGGACGAAACGGCTGTCCAGTGCTTTCAGGTTTCTAATGGTGGTCTAACAATGATTGATTGATGATTTCAAATGTGTAAAAACACAAACCTTCAAAACTCTGCCCCAAAAGACTATAAATGTGTTTAGTGATGAAAGGAATTTGATAATGTGTTAGAAGTTTTTTTTACATTGTTAATAACGTATACAATTAATGACAGGGAATTAGAAATTGTTTAACAGTATACAAAATAAATCATAGCCATGGTTTATTTATGAAGTTGTAGTGTGTGTAGTTTTATGTCGAGACCAGGCAGCTCGTCCCAGCATTTGAAAAAAAATTAATTAGTCCGCTATTCTTAAGTAATTATTCACTTGTCTTTTGACTTTGTCAGTTAGTTGCGCACACCTTGGTGGCTTTTATTAGCGTGTGTGTGCACACCTACCTCGCTTATTACATATCTAGTTTACTTTGTCTCACTATTAATGCTTAGTCATGCATCATCGAATTGAGTTGGCTCACTTGCCTTCTCCGCTTCGCTTCACTTGTATGCTTTCCATTAACATGTCTGCAATGAACGATTGCTTGAAATAAACTCATCCAACCGGATCCGTATTTGGCTTCTTATTACTGCCGTCGTACAAACGAGTCTCGCCTAAGTATGATATACGGAAACCAAAGGGGAGATTTATTTCATAGCAGACTCGATCATTCGCAAATACCAGAGCCAGATCGAGGGTCACCAAAATGTATAGGTTCGCGCACACAACTTTGACTCACAATGTTTGTGTGAAATTTTTGCGCAACCTGAATTAGGTGCAACGGTATTTGGTTGACAGCCACTATTTTACTGTATGAGCTAAAGGATAACATACTCAGTCGGTTATATATAAAATAGTAGTAGAATAGATTCAATATAAGAGAAAATGGATTTCGGGACACGAGTTTTAAAGGGAAACAAGGAGAGAATGTACCAGCACTATTGCAAACTATTCTGAACTATGCCACGCAAAGTTGATAACCATTGTTTACAATAATCACGCAAATGCAAAACAAGTAGTCTGTATCAATTAACACGGCTCAGTTCAATGACTTCAGGAACTGGTTGCACACCTTGGTTTGATTGACCTTATCTTGAAACAAACTGTTATACCAGACAACACCGCTCATCGAGGTACGTGGTGTGAAGGTTTATAACCATGTCAGTTGATTTGCCGTCTTTACCTAAAACATTAAACTTAAACTTGGCGTTTCTCAGTTGCTGGTCCCAGAATACACGAAAGACACTTTGAAGACACTTATGATCGAATACCAACCAGTAACCTAAAAACATCCTTCATTCTTAAAGACGAAAAGGAAAAAAGTGGACAATACCTTAAAAAAAGGCACTATTTCCTGATAACAAAAGAAACGTCTATTTTCTGAATATTCAAATTCTCACATTATACTTTCGTATATATTAAATTTAATAAAAGGCTTTGATAAGAATTTTAAAGTACAAGCGATCCGATAATAGAGAATAGACATGTATAAGAAGAAAATTATTAGGTTAGAGTCTTACAGGCGATCACTCACTGATAAAATAGCTCATTAGTAATGTATCAGACTGTGGAAGCTTGGGGATATGGGTATGAATCTCACAATAAGTAACATTTCTGTTAATATTGCAGGTACGCCTTATTGACAAGTACCAACTGTCACAAAACCTATTTCAAGTATGTTTAACCTGGGGGGTCTACCTCCAACCAACCAATGTCTGAACGATGTTAAAAACGATCATTGCAATTTCTGAAAAGTCACTTCTTAATAATTACAACAGTGAACAGATTTTATCCACAAAAACAACTTATAAAATTTAATGTATACAAATTTATCTTATTTTTCAATTATATAAATTAACCCTCTATTGTCAAGGGCAATTTTACATTGGTTTTCAGGAGAACCAAGGAAACTGCTCACATATGAACAGTTCGATTCAATCCCGTGGTACAACCACACAGGTACCTGATACCCTGGTGGACCATTCACACCATTTATATACACTAGTACAACATAAATAGTGATTATTTCCGATCCATGATCGCGTCAATCAATATGCACAGCATGAACAGGCCATTTTGATCCATCCTGCTTACATGACTGTCAAACTCATTATTATTAGCAATGGTTATATGCAGCAATACAGCACCCCAATGACAATGCCTCTGGGGAATTTCGCAAAACAACCACTAGTATCAATGAAATCAGTCGCCCTGCTAACTAATTTTTTATATGGACTGTTAGCAATGCTTGCGAAAGCAATGCCAAGCCATCAATAATGTCCATAGAGAACCTCTGGTCTCATAGGAGACCTTCAGCTCTATATAGCAGCATAGCATATGGTGTACACATATATGGCGTAGGGGATGATAGTAGAAGATTCAGTCCAGCTTGAAGCGAACAGGCCGGGACACTCCTAATACCCTTTGCCTCATGTCCGGTAATGATTTTTTCGCAGTTCCAAAATTTTCACTTTTCGACCATATGATGAGACCTGAGTTAAGGGTAGTAGAAATGACAAGAAAAAAAACACAATTCAACCCACCATTTTCACTAATTCATCTAATAAATCCAATGCAGCTGATCCAATTAAATCATCGGAACCACTAATTAATGTGAATAAATTTGTAAGTGAATCATTTGGTTGATATAAATCATTATCTAATAGTTGTTTTTCATTATGATTATGATTATTAGAGTTCGAATTGGAATTAAAGAATAATTGACGTATATAAACATCAAGTCCAGAATTAACACAATTTTCCAAAAGTATACGTAGAAGATTGATTAACTGGAGATGAAGAAATGCAAAAAAAAATATGTATTAGGAGATTTTTCAATAGTGTAAAATAATAAAGCAGGTCTGTAATTTAGGTGAATTAATCAATCAGTCAATAGCAATGTGGAACTCCGCACATCAGTTCAAGCTGCTATACCACATTAACACAGAGACATAATTGTCAATTCAAATCCCATCGTGGTAGAGGTAGTAAAAGTATTAGCAGTAACCGGAAATTTTAGGATTCGACTATATTATTCAAGAAGTAGAGTCTAGTGAAATAAACTTAAAAAGAAAAAGGTAAAGTGATGAGGAATCTAGATGGTTAGGATTTCAGAGAACACAAAGAATGAATGCACCTGCACCATTACAAACAGTCAGTCAGTTGCAACGTAGAACTTCGTACGTACGTACATACATAAGTTCAGTTTGCTATACCACATTAGCACAGACGCAAATGTCAAATCAAATCCCATAGTGATAAAGATAGTAGAGGTATTAATGGTAATGAAGGAGACTAGGGTTCGAAGATATTATTCAAGGAGTATAATTCAGTGAGATAAGGTTAGGAAGACAAAGGTAGAGGTGATGACGAATCTAGAAGATTAGGATTTGAGAGAGCTCAAAGAATGTATGCACTTACGCCATTGCAAACGGTTTTGAGCCATGTCATTTAGGGTCTCTAACCATTGATTATTATCATCTCGCGGGTCCCAACCAGGTAGTCGACACCTACCAACATGGCTCAGTTCACTTGTCAGTGACTTCATGAATTTGTGTCATGTTTCGGTTTAGCAGCCCTTAACTTTCTTCCAACCTATTCCTACACCGCAAAATATAGCTCAACGAAGCAGTCGGTGGTTAAGCATTCGTAGCACATGTCCCCACCACCTCAACTGTTGAAGTTCTACTACTTTATCTATTGATCTGCCATCCGTTTCCTAAAGACAGCATTGCTTACTCGGTTGCCCACGATACACGAGCAATGCTTCAGAGACACTTACTTTCCAAAACCAGCAACTTACGAATATCTTCTACTCTTAATGGCTATGTATCACAGCCATAAACTTTAGGTGGATAGTTTCGGTGGAGTTTCGTTCATTATAGAGCTGGTTAGTTAAATTGATTAATTTTAATCGTGTATTTAGTCGGCATTAATTATATTTCAAATTGAAATTATGTCATGTTAATAAAGATTATGTAAATTTTCTGACTGCGTGATCCTGTTTTATCGGGAATCGATTTGAGTTACGAATATGGATAGTCGGATCCTGAATCAGTGGTTTAAAAGGGACATCAGGATCACATTAAAGATTGAAGGTCATCAAATGAATATTACAGAAAAGTTTCAGTAAAGATGTCGTTTGGTGTTAGATCATGGAAAAACATTAAAAATAGAATAACTTTTCGGGAATTAACTAACTGGAAAAATACTTCTCAGTAACAGTAGCAAAAACTTGTTACAAACTGGATTGCTTAGATTTCAGGTGTATGTTATCTATAGAATGATAAAATTAAATATATCATAAAGGCAGAAACGAATATATATATATATATATATATATATATATATATATATATATATATACATAGTATTAGTTCGAGCATATCAAATTGACCTGACTACGTGCATACGCAACACAAACATCACCGTTTTTACAACCACATCATGCGAATTTAGTGACGGTAGCAGTATAACTAACCTGTATTATAATTCATTTCTTGTACGCCATATATACCTATGGATAGAAACTTTGTCCTCTAATGGTTAAGTAAACTGCTAAATAAGACAAATTAATGATGCCCGAAGAAAAAAAGTAATCATAGCATATTATACATTAATTCAGGTTGGATAGTGGTTATCATTGAATTGTAATTCAGTAATCCCATAGTAACACTGTGGTGCGCGCTACTTATAAGTAGTATATGACGCGTGTGTAAACGTAATGTCTGGCAGCAGAAGATGGGGGAAGATCAAGAAAGGAAGAGTGGGAACACAATGGAATCTGTATGAAACGCATGAATATTGAAATGTCAGACAATGGATTGATGATGGATTGAAGATTTGCAAATTAACGGTTACGATATGGTTTTCCTATTTTACTGAGTAACTCTGTAATTTTTGTTAAATACAATTTGGTTGCCCTCACCTGTTCTCCTTCACTACAACACGTCTGTTATCATCGTTCAACTCAATTATAAGTTAAAAATTTATATTGGAAAGTCAAAACCACGGAAGAACCATTTGTTAAATACTTTTATTTATCGATAAAAATGAATTATGAGGGAAAAAAAGAATATTTGAAACTAACCTTTAGTACAAGTGATGTGTCTTTGGCTCTTAATTGAGTAACCATTTCTTGAATAAAAGTCTTATGAGCAGGGAAGCTGAAAACATGCACACAGAACAATGATTGCGGTAAAAAGCTTATTAAATAAATAAATATTTGATTAAAGTGACCAAACATAGAACTGAATTTAAGCCGAGAATTTCCTACATTCACTGAGTAGTAGTTAGATTCATCCATAGCGCGCTATGGCATTCACCACATGTTTTTAGTAAGTTAATGTAGGGTGTAGGAAGGATTTGATTATGACCGATTTGGTCTCGTTTGCTGTTACGGGTATGAGGGCGGTTGTCACTCCCCGGCTGCCCATACCGTGTAGGTAAAGCGGCCAGGAAACGAACCCGGACCGCCCGCGTGGCAGGCGAGCATTCTACCATTAAACCACCTACGCAATGTGAACACTGTAATTACATATCGAGTGAAAGAAGGAAGAGTTGATCAAAGCGATAAGAGGAGGTGTAGAAAGAATTTGATTGTGACCAATTCGGTCTTGTGTGCTTTTATGAGTATGAGGGTGGATGTTACTTCGCGGCCTGCCACGCCGTGGAAGGGTTCTGGTCGTCAGAGGGGGCATCGGCCTCATGACTTAGGAAGTAACTCAACTTTCATCATGAGATGTCATAATTCCTCTAAATATAGACCTTCTAACTCCCAAAGCAGAGTTTATATGGTTTCAATTATTTTTTCTTGTTAGCGTTTTTTGGCAAGTTAGTTTTTTCCGGGATGGGATCGCCAACCCTAATCCCAACCCTGCTCCTTTATCCGGGCTCGGGACCGGCAGTAGCCCCGAAGGGTCTATTGATGTACGTACGAAGTTCTACGTTGCTGTTGATTGATCGATGTCACGTGAAATGTTATTTCCTCTTAAGATTCATAGAACAAACAGATAAGATCATGTGAAACGAGGCCAGACATTTAACTAATGAAATAAGTTTTGGGCTCAAAACAGGATGCAATCATTTTTTCACTGTGTATAGTTTAGTTGTAGAAACTTTATTTATGTCTCGATAGTCATTTGCAAACATGAAGATCTTTTTTTGCTATAGCCAACCAACTAATGTCACCAACATTATATTAAAGTAATAATAATAACACAAACTTGGCAATCAGTTGACGTAATATAGTCTGCAGACAATGGGATATGTAATAGAGAGAACTAGGTGAATACATGGAAATTGTGACGAGTTAAAAAATATCATGTAAAGAAAGAATATATACACATCATGTCTAACATTCTAATCTCACCACTAGCAATTGTACTGATACTGAAATTAACGAACGTAGATATTGTTGGGGATGTTAGATCCCCAAAATTCGCTTGATAATGCCGTATTTTGGTTTTCACGTTTCGCCAGCATGGGCTGATCAGATGACCTTGAGATTTCAATTCCCACCAGCAAAATCAATGGCTGTGATTGGCTGCAGTGTATTTTAGTATGCTATTTTCTTAACTGTCTCAAGGACGTTCTTATGTTGTATAAATAAACGAGAGTTGTATGCTTGATTGTACTGTGATTGCTGGGTGTTTGTAGAATATACTTCCTACGCTTACAAAGCCTTCTATTCCGATTTTGGGTATTCAAGGTAGCCTCCCTGGAAGCTGGTAAAAGTCTCGTTCGCGTTTATCGACTAAGGTAAACTCGTAATAGCCTCAAGCATACTAAGTGACGAACTTATCAGATATGATAGTTGACAAAAACATAACTAAAATATAGACGGAAGACAATCAGTATATTTGTCAATACGAATTATAGAAAACAACTATCATGACATAAAAAGTACACAGAATAAAAACCATCAAAAATGAATGAAAAAAACAAACAAATTAAACCCTTATCCTGTAAAATATTATAATTTTTGCAATGAAAGATTGATACTACAGAAGTATTAAGTAATGCAATACTCAAGTACAACTTGAACTATATTTATCATGTAAAGTCTAGAAATATTATTCAAAGCAGAAAGTATTTGTTTGAATTCAGTAGTTAAGAAAGAAGTATCTTTACTGGTAATGACACAAAGTTTGTCTCTTATTCACGATGATGTTGTTGGATATGAAATTGAATACAGTGAAGTAATGAAACAGTGGGCTTATTAGTTTATGCACTACACATTAATCATTCAGTTGTAGCTTAGAAAACCAGACTGTATCAGTAGCCCTCAAAAACCGAGTACATAAATCTGTACTTAAGTTAATGAAATGAATGAAATGTAGACAGACAGACAGACAGACAGATACAACGCAGAACTTCGTACATAAGTACATCAGTTCAGGTTGCCATACCACATCAGCACACAGACGCAACTGTTAGTTCAAATCCAACAGTGATAACAATAATAGAAGTATTAGCAGTAATGGAGAAGATTATGTAGCGAATATATGATTCGAGAAGTATAATTCAGTAAGACAAATTTAGAAGGAGAAAGGTAGAGATTATGAGGAATACAGAAGCTTAGAATTTCTTAGAACACAAAGAGTGGATGCACCTGCGCCATTGCAAACGATTCTGAGCCATGTCGCTTAAGGTTTCTAACCATCGGTGACTATCGTCTCGCGGACCCCAACCAGGTAGCTTACATCTACCAACATGACTCAGTCCACTTGTCAGTGACTTCATACATTTGTGCCTCGTTTTGGTTTGGCCGCCCCCAGCTTTCGTCCAATCTACTCCTACACTGCAAAACATCGCTCAACGTGGCAGTCGGTGGTTAGCCATACGTAACACATGTCCCAACCATCTCAACTGATGAAGTTTCATTACTTCATCTATTGATTTTCCGTCCCTACCTAGAACTCGTTTTCTAACGACAGCATAGCTTATACGGTTGTCCCACGATACACGAGCAATGCTTCGGAGACATCGATGATCGAAATGTAACTAAGGTTAGTATTAAAATATAAGCATACAATCGTTTGCTAAAAAAAACCTTGACTTACCTGATGAGTATAGATGTAAAGAATTCAGGTTCTGCGCTTGAAAGATCACCCAGTAGTTCACCAGCGCATAGACCACAAACACTAACATCGCCATTTAACAAGACGTTAAATAAAACTTGAAGTGTTCTGTGAGCATTCAAACCTTCGAAGAACTGGTCAGTAAATAGAATCATTTTAGGAAATAAAAAAGGGATTTAAATATTTATTTTTAATATTATTTAAATTTGTAATAGGCTGACTTACGAAACGAATATGATCAGTGTTTACCCTTACTGTAATGTACTGATACAACCAGTTAGTATCTAACAACCGCATGTAGGTAATACATGAGGGATTTTGTGTTTTTTTGTGTGGATTCAGTTATTGGTAAGAATAAAAAATCGTTAAACGTGAACTGTTCGAGATTAAATTATGATGTAAAAAGCCGAAAGTAAAAATTATTTTTTCTAACCGTTTTTCAAACAAGAATAATTTCAACCTGTCTAATTGAATGAAGTTTTCCGTTGATTTTTGGATTTAGTTTGTTATCATAATTATAAAATAAAATTTGCTATTTTAACGAGTGATACGTAGGTATATCAATGTAAATCTCAAGTACAACATTCTGTAAAACAACTAATTCATATCCATCTTTGAACTAGTTAATGAAAAAACGCTAATTTAAAATTGAGTATAAATAAGGTGCTAAGCTGCAATTGACTACTAGTTGAGACTAGTTTCGATTAATGTGCTTTTACGAGTATGAGGGCAGATGTTACTTTCCGTTTGTCCACACTGTGATTGTTTCTTGAGGAACCTGAAAAGGAAGTTAGATTAGCGTTGGTCTTAGAGAACTGGGAGCGTGACCGCAAGTGACAACTGCTTGAGGCCAGCCACGCACGGCCTTTTTAAAGTGTTGGCTCCGCTCTTCAAATGGCCTAACACTCGTCGACGGAAATTCGTGGGGAAAGGTGGGGTGTGACATTTTTAGGATCGACCTTTTCTAACCCGTCCCCTGCTTTCTTGTGAGAAGGCAGCATCACTGAAGATGCTGGTTGTCTCATCGTTCTCCAATCGACCTGCCTGGTTCGGTAGAAAATACAGAAACATATGTCCCAGCCAATACAGCTCGGTTGGGTTATCACGACAGGCAATCCCGACCACTACGTCAAGGTGTCTAGTTAAGGTCGGGACAGCAATCAACATTATTTTACAAAACACATAGAGAAATGAAAAATAGACGGCAACCCACGAACACTGATGTACTAAATTTTGCTTGCATATTTTTAAATAATTCATAGATTTAAAAACGTCGAAGAAAAAACCAAAAATACTCAACATTTACACGACGTTAAAACATCAGGTATCCTATCATTACTATAAACTTTAAACTATGTAAACTAAAGTCGTCACTTTTAGTCTTTATACCCCATAGACGTTGGCCAGAAAGTCCAGATATAACTTGAACTAACAGTTAAGGATTGCAGATTAATAGTAGCAAGTCTTAGTTTAAATACACTAATACACAAACACACAAGCATTTATTTAGTCCACCCTTTGCATAGGTTCACAATCTTTATAAACTAACTTGCTACCACTATCTAGAAATAAATATATATTGTCTCAAATTAGTGGTGTTACTCCAAAAAAAGGAAGGCTTTTAAAGTGCACGCGATAAAATGTCTGTACTTTTGTAACTCTAAACTTCAACAATCATACTTCACAAAAGCTTGGTAAGTTAGAACATATCAACCACTTTTTCGTACCCAAAACCAGCTCTGCCCACCGAAGTCTTTCTAAGAAGCCAGATGTAGCGAGTTTTTTTGACATCAATTAGTTTATCTGAGGATAGAGATAATTACGATTCTCGGCGTTCTAGTGGGAAGACGTGACCAGTGGAGTTCAACCCTGTCGGGTGTAAGCAGTAACTACCAGAGACAAATGGGTGAGGTCGCGCAAAATCCCTAGATCACTGAGAGTTAGACATTAGCACCGTTGGAAACTGGCCTAGTGGTCCAATCGTTAGGAGTTCGCGCACAATACCGATGGTCCCGGGTTCGAATCCTGCGAGATGCAGGAGTCGTGGATGTGCATTGATGATGAGTCCCATACAAGGACGAAACGGTTGTCCACTGCTTCCAGGTTTCTAATGGTGGTCTAACAATGATTGATTGGTGATTTCAAATGTGTAAAAACACTAATCTCCATAACTCTAATTGAAAATAATTGCAAACGTCTGAGAGCTTCTAATATAAGCTAGTACATGTGCTGTGGTTTCTTATGGTGAATTGAATGTAATGAAAGGCTATAATATTAAGATAAGAATCACTATTATGTCCTTACAAAGATTTGAACTAAGTGAGCATAAACAAAATTAGTACGCTTAGGTATGAACAGACATTATAAGCTTATAAAAAAAAGATGGTTGAACTTACTTTATCAGCGGAATTCCATAAATGAAATCTCACAGCAACAGAGAAAATCAAAGCAGAACGGCTTACTTGGTCTGAACTTATGATACGAAGTAGACAACTTCGCAATGCTTCAAAGTCTTCCTATCATATATCATTTATATAAAATAATACTATGAAAATTACCTTTTTTGTTAATGTTTGTTTTACAAGATTTGAAAAATGAGATAAATTAGCCAAGATACCAAGAGCTGGTTCTAGAAAATCATCATTTGAATGAATGATACGAATGATGTAATGAAGTGCACGAGAAAATAGAATCGGTTCTATTGGTATATCCAAATTATGTAAATTTTCAGTATATATCTGTAGCGCTTCTAGCAACTGTTGTAGTAAAATTAAACGTGAACACTAATGTAATACCTTAGTTTTATCACAAACAGTAGAATCTAATATGATTCCATATATCAATGGTTTTAATATAGAGAAATATGTTAGAAGTTGATATCGAGTTTGTATATTGTGACCTAAAATAGTAATATATATATATTTATATATGAGAACAAACAACTTACCAAAAAAGATGATGAGATCAATAATGGCATTCTGTGCAGCTGCACCATATTCATCACAAAAACCAGCTGCTATAAGGGAGTTTAAAGCTTTTACATCGTCAGCAGTGGTCAAATTTATGCGAGAGTTTGAAGATTGTATGTAAGTCTGTTCGGGATAAGTGTTTAAATGAATGAAAATATTTTAGAATCATAATACAATCAAGTAAGCAAAACGAAATTACGTAAGTAACCGGAAACACGAGTTAGTAAGATCAACAATTTTTGAGTACAATTTGATCTGTATGAATGTATAAAACATATTTTTAGCTTGATTAAAGCTACTAATAAAACAAATAGAATGGAGAAGGCAACAAAATAAAGTTGTAAATTTCTAATATTCCAAAAAATTTAATTATTTTTATTACTTACGTTGATCACCGTCGGCAGACTATCATAATTCTCTAGTGACTTGCAATTTTCCCAACACTTTAAGACGTCCACAAAATGCATTCTAGTCGTCCGCTAAAAATCTGGTATTTGAGTGATTAGTAAACATACATAAAAGAAAAAAACGAAAATAATCTACCTTGAAGTTGAGAAATGGAACATATGACGACATGTTAACATAGCTAGGTATCAAGAGACATGCAGCTAATTTAAAATATATGAAAAATGATATTTCGAAAGAGTACCACCTCTATAGTGAAATGTCGTCCATTAGATTAGCGAAGTCAGCATTTAAGAGATGATGAAACTTTTTTTTATAGCGGAGGTAGTTTTTTCCCTTATCAGCTTACTAATCTACTTTCTTTTTCAGGTTACTCAAGAAAAACTCTTCCACGGTGTAGGCAGCCGGGAAGTAACATCCGCCCTCATACCCATAAAAGCACACGAGACCCAACTGGTCACAATCAAACCCTTTTTACACCTCCTAATAACTTTCTTATTTCCTCGACCAACCTTTCTTTCGATCGTTTATCACCTCACGCCACTGAAGCTAACGGTACGAGCTCTCGAAACATTATTCCTGGTCTCATGAAATCCCGTACTAAATTACATACAGCAGCTTTTAGTGTTCGTACCCTATGCCAAATAGGGCAACAGGCTTCAGTAGCCAGAACTCTGGAATCCCGGGTGGTCGATGTATGTTGCGTCTCTGAAACGCGCATACAAGATCCGAGTAAAATCATCAATTTGATCTCACTTAGTGCAGACAGAGACACAACAAGATTTACGCTTCGTGTTTCTGGAAGCTCTGATGCCGCTTCTCGTGGCCTCGCCGGCGTAGGAATAGTATTAAGTCCTAAGGCAGAACAAGCTCTCTCAGACTGAATCCCAATAGACAGTCACTTATGCGCTGTCCGAATAAACGGGACGGTATGGATTCGGAAGGTTAGGGACACTCGCCGTTGCCTCTTTGTTGTATCTGCCTTCGCTCCCACTGACTGCAGTTCAGTTTCATAGAAACCTCTCTAAACTTCTCCATAATGTTAAGCGCTCTGATGTAGTAATAATGGCCGGTGACTTGAATGCTCAAGTAGGTAGACTCAGCGAAAAGGAAAGACAACTGGGTGGATCTTATGGTGTCGCGGCTCAGAGAACAGATAATGGCGACTGTCTGCTGCAGATATGCTCAGATGACCGTCTATTCCTAGCAAACACTAACTTTAAGCATAAGGAAAAACATGTTTTGACCTGGCGACCCCCAAAGTCGACCGAACGATGGACCCAACTAGATCACATCGCTATAAGCCATATATGGAGAGGCTCTGTCGAAGACTGCCGATCATTCTGGAGCACTTGTTTAGACTCAGACCATGCACTAGTGCATGCGCGTATTTGTTTGCGCTTTACTGGACGCAAGAAAAATATATCACAAGGAAACCTCTTACGGCTCTACTTGATGATAATAAAGCTAAGAATATATTTCAGAAAAGACTAGAAAAACAGTTAAGCAGCCATGTAGTAAGTGATGCCCACCCAGAGGCAGCTTGGAATGATATTAACAAGGCTGTGGAAACAGCAGTAATATCTTCTAGTAAGGTAAACCATAAGGTTAGGAAGAAGCCGTGGATTTCAGTAGCATCTACGGAACTGATGGATGCTCGAAAGCTCATCCCGCCAGGCTCTGAGCATGATGAGGATCGGAGTCTGATCAGGCGCAGGCTGATAAAAAGCCTTCGCAATGATCGAGAACAGTGGTGGGTAGCGAAAGCAAGGGAGATGGAAAAGGCAGCGGCGATAGGCAACTACTCAGACTTATCAGGGAAACAGGTATTAGGAACACGAATGTGAGTGAGACTATCTCGGAAAAGGATGGGATTATTATCCATTCTCAATCCAGGAGACTGGATCGATGGGCAGAACACTTTAGGGATCAGTTCAACTGGCCACGAGCCACTCTTCGGTTACCCACGATCTCCAGTCATCCTGAATGGCAAATCGACCTAAGTCCCCCTAGTCTTAATGACGTTGAGAAAGCGTTAGGAAATCTGAAACGAGGAAGAGCTGCAGGTCCTGATAGACTGACCCCTGAGATATTTAAGGATGGTGGTCCAGTTTTAGCAGCTAGGTTGACCGAGATCTTAGGTAGAATCTGGGAACTGGACGTAATCCCATCTGACTGGTCCCAATCCTTGATTGTCCCTATTTGTAAGAAAGGACAAATGTCTGCTTGTGACAATCACAGGGGAATGAGTCTAACTAATATAGTTTCTAAATTTCCATAGACATGCTGCTAGATATAACATTATCTTCGTCTGAATTTTTAGGAGTAGACCTTATACCAGGAAGCTCACTTATTGACTTAGAATATGCTGATGACATAGTTCTATTCGGTGAAGAAGCTGACAAAATGCAGTCTTCTGACTACCTTGAGCAACAATGTAAGCATGTATGGGATGCATTTTTCTCCCTCGAAATGCAAAATGTTGCTTCAAGATTGGGTCGCATCGGTGGTACCTGAACTAGTGATAGGGAGTGAATTAGTTGAACGTGTTGACCGCTTCACTTATCTCGGGAGTCTCATCAGAGCTGATGGCCTGGTGACTGACGCAATCTCAGCACGGATACAGAAACCTCGATTGGCTTTTGCCAACCTGCGTCACTTATGGTGAAGGCGAGATATCCGTTTGCTGACCAAAGGACGAGTGTACTGTGCAGCAGTTCGCTCTGTCCTACTTTATGGCAGTGAAACATGGCCAGTCAGAGCAGATATTCGTAGGTTAGTGGTTTTCGATCATAGGTGCTTACGAAGCATTGCTCGTGTATCCTGGGACAACCGAGTAAGCAATGCTGTCGTTAGGAAACGGGTCCTAGGTAAGAATGGCAGGTCAATAGATGAAGCATTGAAACTTCTTCAGTTGAGGTGGTTGGGATATGTGTTACGTATGCCTAGCCACCGACTGCCTTTTTGAGCTATATTTTACGATGTACGAATAGGCTGAACGAAAGCTAGGGGTTGCCAGACCGAAACATGGCACAAATCCATAAAGTCACTGACAAGTGGAATGAGTCATGTCGGTATATGTAGACTACCTGGTTGGGGTCCGCGAGACGAAAGTAACCGATGATTAGAAACCCTGAAAGACATGGCTCAAAATCGTGTGCTATGGCACAGGTGCATTTACTCTTTGTGTTTTATGAAATTCTAACCTGAATTAATCATCACCTCTATCTTTCTGTTTCTAAATTTACCTCACTGAATTATACTTCTTCAATAACATCTTCGAACCCTAATCTCTCCGATTACTTTTAATGCTTTTACTACCTCTGCTACTATGGGATTTGAATTGAAAATTATATCTCTGTGCTAATGTGGTATGGCAACTTGAACTGCTGTACTTACGTGCAAAGTTCTACGTTGCTGTTGATAATGATGAAGACTAGTGACTGAGAGCCCTGCTCTTTGGCCATTAATTTACCATGATAACGATCCGTTATTATATCGTACTCAAACAATGACCTGCTTTAGATATTATATCGAAACTTCAATGAACTTTTTGTCTCACACCGTAACTTGTGAGTACATCCTCATTTCTTAAGCTAACTCTGTTGTATTTCGTGGTCATATTTTAGTGTATGCAGGAAACGACAAGTTAGAGAGCAAAAAGTAAGTTTAGGCAACAAATATTTGCTGTGTAATTAAGTTTAGCGATCAGAAATGTAGATCAATGTATTATCGAGAATTTTAGAGTTTAGAAGTGTTGAAATTTGAAACAACTGATAAAAAGTCCGGAAACGCCTAAGTCAAAAGTGGTAATCGTAACAAAGATTTTCGACAAAAAGATGCAAATCAACAAATTTGGGGTTCATAAAAAATTCACCATCTAAAGTAGTCGGCAACAAAACTCTCAACATGTGGCTAATAGCCCAAACGGGGTCCTGAATATCTAGAAAATTCTTCATGATATAAAGAGAATGTTCTTAAAGTATTCCATCTTAGTAGCAGTTAAGTTTTGACACAATAAAAAATGAAGCTTGTAACTTCAACCTTCGTATACAGATTTAGCCCATAGCTGGGCTTGGAAACGTTGGTTCATCGGTTTATGAACACTTATAAATTTTATTGACATTCGTAAAAGTTTTCACGTCATACAAAGTGGAATTTCTACAGCCTACACCAAAGGAATACTCAGGTGTTGTAAATGTTGATAAGAACAAGAGTTCTTCATTGATCTGAATTAAGAACGACTACATTTAAAGAACGGTATTTCTGATGGTTAAATTAGTGTAAATATCGAAAATGGATACACCTATTAAATAACTGAAGTGGGCTCTAGGCCTAATTTGAAAGCAAAGTTACGCAAAAAAGGTTGGGATCGGTAGAAACGAGGTGTAGGAATAGTGTAAAATAGGGTTAGGTAATAAGCCAGGGAATTAGCACTAGGATCCACAATAGGCAACGTCAGTTTCCACCACAAAAGAACATCTGATAGGACGCAGTGCTCTAGGTTTTTATGTGTATAGACTCAGAACAAAATTTAAATTGGTATTATCTTGATCCGCATAAGTTTGTTCTCCAACGTGTGTCAACACATACATCCACTATATAGCCTTTGTTTTAATTAAGTAACCAAAGCAAGAAACTGAAATTTTTGGACGCATAATGCCAGGAATAAGCTTATCATAACATACTTTGAAAAATTCCTTTTACAATAAGAAAGCCGAGAGTATCTGTTACACAATAGCTGAATAGTGAAGAGGTCAAACAGTACAAATCGTCTTAAGCATATTATAATAACGGAAAAAATTATATTTTTACCAGAGGAAACCATTGACAAGTTATTAAAACTTGTTAAATTGTAGGTTATACTCACCACTTAGAAATGTCTTTCTCAAAACCCGCCAGAAAGTTCCGATTTAATTGTGAACGACATTTTATTGTGCTTAATTGTGATGCACTAAAACACACAAACATCTCCCAGGAGAAGTAGTACATAGTTTGTTCCTTCGTGGACATATCCTGACATGAAAACAGTGACTTCTGCAGTTCATAGCTGTTTTTTTTATTTTTTTAGTTCCTCGTAATACAATGAACTAAAGGTAGAGCGACAATTTGTGGTCGACGGATAACAACTACCGGGAACTCTCTACACTTATTCGAAACTATAGTAGACGTCACGTATTTCTTTGAGACTTGGTAGGTGATATAAGTACTACCTGATGGTAGATACGATAACAACGAATGAAGATTTCATAATTATCAGCAGTTGCTTACAAAACGCGTATGCTAATCTACATACAAATCCATCCATCTAGCGCATTACAAGTACAGCGAAACGTATTTCTTGGATTGAGATTCTAGTCATATTCCGTTTATTTTATGTAATTGTGTGCGCAGTTTGATAAATAACTATATAAATGTTCCGTGAGTATGTAGTGTATCCACTTATAAGGAGAACGCGATTGATTTAACATGGACATTAATTACAATAACCCATTGTACTAGTGATTTTTTTACTGAATCTCTTTGTTTGCATCACTTTTTTAGCACAAACTGTTCGTTTTTGATGGTGCCGTTTTGGCTTCGCTGTCTCTGTAGTTTCGTCCCATTTTTCTGCAAGCTTTTGGTATTCTTTCGATACAACGAAATCACCAGCAAATAAATTCTTTGCTATGGATTAGCTCTTCTTCTCTGTGACGGGATCGTAGTTTCTGTGATGGTGATCATAGTCAATCTCGACCCGAATGCCACTAAAAGTAATATTTGAATTACGAGTTATAATCATATCGCTGCCGATCCTTGTCTTCTGTGAAGATTGATTTTTCGAAACTATCTACATTGTCCTAATTTTTGTTCTGAGACCAAAGGGCGGTCATATGGAGACAAACGGGATTGAAATGACCGGTGAAAACTTTACTGAAGAATTCGATTATCGGTCTAGCATATTTTTAATCGTACAACCCAAAGCTAGACCAATGTTAATAGCGGAAACATTTTCGCGGAATCAATCGTGACGTTAGTAGCGTCAGAATTTATGTGTTCCGTGCACTGTCACTTTGTACGAAATGGTTCCAAACAATTAGTTATGTCTAATCAATAGATAAATCTGAATGAATTTACTAGGCTGCTTCTCAGCATAATCTGTCGTTCTGTGTGCGCACATAAATATAAATTCGTGACAATTTTATTGATTCTCTAAGAAGTACTCTGGATGTACTATCGGCACTTTTATTGAAATAACACGAAGACAGTATTAAATGATGATTATCCGAAATGAATATATACTTTATTTTAAAGATATGTTTGAAGACCAAAAAAGAAGAAAAGGTCAACGGAGACTGTTGCGAGAACATTAATTGGGTCACACAGAGGGAGTAATCAAGCTTATTAAATTAGATTCAATTCCATACTCCTATAAGAAAAGATATCCCGTCGATGAAAGTATATGCGATTTTAAGGCTCTTATTGAGGTTTTCACTCTAACTTCCATTATAGGGGCCACTGGAATGAACACTGATAAAAAATTATTGCTCATTTGCTAATGCCCCTTACCCTCAACGGAGCATAGGCCGCTAACCACAATTCTGCAGTCAACTCTCTTCTGGGCTTTCCTTTCAATTTTTTCATTCTCCTCATGTTTGTCTTCTTTTCTCGGCATAACGTGTCCCTCGGCTTTCCTTTTCTCCTATGACATTGATGGTTCCAAGTCACGGCTCGCCTTATGATGCTGTCGGGTGCTTTCCGTAATGCGTGTGCTCTCCACTCCCGGCGATTCTCCCTAATTTGTTCCGCCGCCGGAATCTTGTTTGTCCTCAAACAGCAGATTTTTGCTGATGGTGTCTGGCCAGTGAATCCGAAGTATTTTGCGTGGACAACAGTTAATAAGTACTTATATCTTCTGGATGATGGTTTTGGTAGATTTCTAAGTTCCCGCCCCATAGAGTAGAACAGTTTTGATGTTTATGTTGAAAAGTGTGTCTTTGGTGTTGGTTGACAGTTATTTTTAGTTGAAAATATTCTTCAATTTTAAAAATGTTGCCCAGATATGTGAAGGTTTTACATCGTACAAAGCTTCACCGTCAAGTGTGATTTGGTTAATGCGTGTTGTGTTGTACCAGAAAATCTTGCATACTGCTGCTTCTGAGGCTGCTGGTACATTGATCGTCCACTGTTGAATTTATTGTTACGTGTGTGATGAAAGAGCCAGATCATCCGCTGCTTAAATCGTCCAGCTGCCTCCTTGCTGTCTATTAGATACCGTACTGCAGATGTTGACCTCTTCATAATCCAGTCGATTGCCAGGAGAAAAAGAAAGAGCGAGAGTAACCTTCCTTGTTTGGCACCGGTCTTCACTTCGAACGAATTTATCAGTTGTCCTCCGTGCACGATTTTGCTCTTTAATCCATCATAAGAATCTCGTGTGAGGTTGGCTACATTCTCAGGCACGCCGCAGTCTCGAAAAAGACTCCGTAGTGTTGTTCTGTCCATGTTGTCAAGTGCTTTCTCTTAGTCAATCAAGTTGATGTAGAGTGGTGAGTTCCAATCAACTGATCGTTCCACAATGATCCGTAATGTTGCTATTTGGTCAGTATACGACTGATCCTTGCGAAATCCAGCCTGTTGATCTCGAAGTTGGGCGTGTACGAAGTCCTTCATTCTGTTTAACAATATCCCGTTGAAGAATTTTCCTGGTTATGAGAGAAGATCGATGCCACTGTAGTTCTCACTTTTGCTGTGATCGCCTTTCTTCGGTATTTTGATGAGATATCCTACTCTACATTTTGTCGGTACTTGTTCCTCATCCCAAATCTTGTTGAACAGAACGTAGAATGCTTTTGCGGTTGCTACCACCTCTGCTTTCGTGTTGTCTGGTCCGTCTGCTTTGCCAATCCTGATTTGTCTCATAGCCACGCTAATCTCTACAGTTGTTGGTGGGCCAACATCGATTGGGAGGTCCGCTGATGTTGCTTCGATTTTGGATGGGTTCATTGTGGCCGGTCGATTCAAGCGTTCCGCAAAGCGCTCCAGCCACCTGTTTCACTGTTCTCTAGTGTTGCTGATTACTTCACTTCCGTGCTATTCATTGGTGGTTCTTATTTACGATAGTTTTCAGCGAGCTTCTGTGTTGTTTCATACAAGTTACATACATGTTTCATGCTTCCTTCAGGTGTGGCCTTTTCATCTGTCTTTGCCTTATGTTCCCCATATTTATGCTTTTCCGCTCTGATACTGCTCTTCACCTGCGTGTTGGGGTCTTTGTGTTCAGCTTGTGCCTTGAATTTCTCTGCATTTGTTCGGCGGAAGACTTTGAATGATGTCATAGAACATAGTTCCCTTCATAGAACGTGGCCTTTACGATCCTTTTTATCTTGAAATTCAGAATATAAGTATCACTCTCACAGTACATAACCGCGACTACAATGTATTTATATGTAGCATAGATACGCAGATCATTAGAGAGGCGCGTTATTAATACTCTTCTGTCTGGCGCGGTCTTCAAGACTTTTGGTTGTTAGGGCATTTAGACTCGAAATTTCGGCATTGAATCTCATGTCGCCTCAGTTTCACGAATCCATCATTTGTATTTAAACCAGATAACCTTTTCCACTACATTATCATCAAGTCATATACTGCCCACTCAAGTGGTATTATTTTGCGACTAAATTCATGATGAACTTATTGGTTTTTGCACAGGCTATCTTTTTCCTAACTAAATTTGCAATAAACTGACCACATAAACCCGAATAACTCATGTATTGCAAACGGTATTTTATGATTGTTCGTGATCAGATAGTGTATATTCTTGATCGAGTTGTATGGAAAGACAGTAATGTAAATTCCTGTTTAATTTTGACAACTAAATTTGGTTTGGAAAGTACTTTTATTTCGATTTAAATGTTCGGAAATATATGTAACTTACTAGTACTCGATCACAGGTGTATCTCCGAAACATTTCGTAAATCACCGAGTAAGCAATGCTGGGCTTACGAATTGGGTACTAGCTAAGGGTGGCAGTTTAAAGAAGTAGTGAACCCTTCACCAGTTGAGGTGTTTAAGACATGTGTTACGTATATACATTCACCGACCACTTCAATGAGCGACTTTGTCTGATGTAAGAACAAGCTGGAAGAAAGCTAGGGGCATTCGAACCAAAATATGGCACTAATCCATGAAGTCACTGACAACTAGACTGGACCATGTTAGCAGGTGTAGACCACCTAGTCGGAGTCTACGAGACAATCGTAAACAGTAGTTAGAGACATTGAATGACAGGGCTCAGAGTCGTTTGCAATGATGCAAATGTATCCATTCTTTGTCTTCTTTCAAAATCTAATCTTCTGAATTCCTCATGACCTCTTATCTCTTTAAATTTGTTTCACTGGATTATGATCACATTGATTACCGATAATGATGCCACTATTTCTACTATTGTGGGATTTGAAGTAACTGTTTCCTAGGACGAAATACCAATTCGTTCATGCTTTTATCTGCTACGTCTCCTTTATCCCAACTCATTTGTTCTAAAAGAGAATGCGGATCTCTTTTTAAAGTATTTTTTTCCAAAACATTCAGTATCTATGAAAATGGTAGTATTATAAACATTGGAGTCACCCACTACCCAGTGGTCATTAAGATACACTGTCATCATCGATATTCTTAAAAACTACAATAAACGCTGTTTGTGATATTTTTGTACAATATCTATTACAAACTTGTGACTATTTACAGTAAGACTTTAATATCAAATAGAGTTAATGCCTGCCTCTAAAAAGCTGAACGCGTAAGTTTGGATTGTATACTGTCTCTGACATTATCTTCTCCATAATGACGCTTTTTTATCTAACCTCTCATGTCGATAAAGTAACCGTGCGCAGTGATTTCCTACAATTTTGTAAAATTTTTTTTGTTATGCTCGACAATGGAAATCCTAATGTTAATGCGTCTTGTTAGTAATATACACCAAAACGTGATCTTATGTTATCGTAAAACTTGAACTTGGGAAGACTCCGTTTTATGACAGTCCTCAACTGTACAAACATATAGATCTGGTCAAGTTTCGTAATATGCGATAAAATATATCTTAAAGGTCTTTTTGGCTGATTATCTACTAGCCTAGTTATCTTTGTTGTGTAAAATGTAAAAAAATGATAAAATAGCTTATAAAAATTTTCTCGTTTCTCTTGTTGACAGTGTGTGACAATTTATACTCCACCCCAATTGACTAGAAAAACTGTAAATTTAGTAATCCACTGCCAAGTGTGTTTGATTTACTATTGAATGTAGAGTTTTTAGTGGGAAAACAGTTTACTGCATAATCACAGACAATTCGGAAATGGTGGTTGAAAGTTTAGTTAAATTTATATTCACTTTTTATAATCACTGAGACTGAAAGCAATTTAAAACGACATATCCTGAACTGCATTGCTTATTGACGTTGAAGTACTGAGTGATGGCAATAACTCTATTCTGGATAGTGTAATAGGATGACGAAGATTATCAAAACTGTAATATATTAGCGCAGTACGTTTCGAACAATCTGATCACGTATACTTGTCCAGAATATTTATATATGAGAAACAAAAGGTTGACTAGATAAATGGGATGTAGAAGAAGACAAAAATGCAAAACAACAAATACATTTTTACCCTCCCTTTATTTTGTTTGCTTGGGGATCCACAGCCTGTTGGATTTCTAAGAATAGCACGTGTTGGTGAATGCAGAATCAAAACTAAATGTACCTATGAAAAAAACGAAATAGAGTGATATTTCATTCTGGTGTTTTTTGGGTTGATAATCTAATCATATCTAAATTCCTTTTCACTGATTCTAAGTTAGCAGTAAGATTTTCATAATAATATTTTAGATAACACAAATGCAAGTACCAACAATAGAAACTTTGGCAAAAATACAAAGATCATCTACTATGTAGCTGTGTGAGTGCTAGAGAGTTTTACGGAAAAAACCGCTCAGGTTAACCTAATCTCTCGAAGGCATTAAGTAAGATATGATCATCGATAAGATAATAATGCATACGAAATAAGAAAGTGAATTTTATTTGAAAGTATACTTCGTGAATAGTTAGTTTGTACATATTTTAAAGTTGCAAAATGAGAAACCACACACACCTCGTACCCTTTCAGCTCTCTCAAATCCTAATCTTCTGGATTCGTCACCACCTCTACCTTTGTCTTTCTAACCTTATCTCACTGAATTATACTTCTTGAATAATATCTTCGAACCCTAGTCTTCTTCATTACCATTAATACCTCTACTATCTTTATCACTATGGGATTTGGTTTGACATTTGCGTCTCTGTGCTAATGTGGTATGGCAACATGAACTTATGTACATACGTACGAAGTTCTACGTTGCAACTGACTGACTCACCCTTATTCCAAATATGAAACACTAGAATACATGTTTTCTTCTACTCTTCCTTCAGATTCTTACACCAATCATTAAGTTTTTTTATTATTCAGCTGTTAATATACTGTGTTATCTATCAACATATTTTATTCCAATTTTTTGATAATTTTATCAACTTGTTCACCTATGTATATTGTTATTTTATCTTATTTGATGTTTATTCACACACGATTTCACCTCTAGAGCAGTAATTCAGCACATATTTTAAGTCTGTGTGAATAAATTGTACAACTACTTCTATGAGTGAACAAAAAGAAAATTTTTTCAAGCATCCCAGAAGAAAAACGGTTTATGGTACGTTAACTCAATTTTTATACTTCCTACAATAACAAATACAATATGGTTTATTAGTTCTCAGCTAGTCTTGAGGTACGTATTGATAAGGCCAACAAAATCAAAAATTTAGTATATCAGTTCTTGATTGATGCAGGAACTAGTCAGATGTTATTTCATCTTTTCGTCTATAAAATTACTCTTAAAGGCTATCTAATCAAAGCTGGAAATTATCTTGCATCTCGGATGTTTTAGAAGTGAGTTATAAAAGTGGCTTATAAAAATGAACATTGTTTACAGTCAAACGCTCATTGACCGAGTGTTAGAATTGCTGAGTTGAGTGAATATGTTTCATGTTTGTTTATTGTAAATTTCCCAAAATCATCTATAATTTTCAGTGACGTTGAACATATTCCAAAAACGTTTGTACATTGTTAGATTACATTACAAAAAGAAAGACTAAGCATTGGGAATATGATTTGGAAAATAGTTGAAATGTATGTTTAAGAAGATGCTGGAATTCAATATCCAGAGGGAGATAAATAGCGAATACACTTGCGTCATTGTAAATGATTCTGAGTGATGTTACGTAAATCTCCAACTATTGGTGGTTATCGCAGGTCCTCAATATGGGTCAGAAGAACAGTCAATGACTTCAAGCTCCCAAATAGTTTGGTATGTTTGTGAGTAGGGAGAGTTTGCTTTCCTTCTCAAGATGCTGTCACATAGCAACGCATGTATAGCCATTGCTTGAAAAGTCCTACTCACTACCTCTTGGCGAGGGTGTTGTCTACAAAATTGAGTATTCAATGCTCAAACCGTGTTGATAAGTACTGTTCGCCAACATAATGAAGTTGGACAACCCTGATTCCAAACCAATAGTGTACATAGGCTCCAGTATCCTGAAATAACAAATGGTGAATGAACCTATTATTGGTCATCGATTGCCATGGGACTACATCTCCTAACGTTGCTCTACTGCCTTATGTATTGAGTGTTCCCCTGAGAAAACCATTTATTTCGGTTTGGGCACCAGGGCAGTATGCTGCCTCAGACATATCCATTGCTTTGTATGGCGCATAAATATTTAGGTGTCCCTTTATTCCAGTAACTGTTTGAAAAAAACTGAAAACAGGAATTTCATTGGCAGAAGCCACGCTTTTGTCTGGTTGTAACTAGCTTTCTCCAAGCCTCCTTCTACTCCAGTCATCATTGTGTGACAAGGTAGACGGTGGTAGGACACAAGTAAAATCTTTTCCAACCTTCTCACATAATGTTCGTGAGAAGTGGTAAGGAACGAAAGCGAAAGAGATAGGTAAGGAAGTAGCGATAATTAACACTAGGCCACTCAACAGACTGATCAAAGTAACGGAAGTAAAAAGCAGATTTCAGTGGGACTATCTAAAAACAAGATGGAAGTGTCATCTGCTTTCGATCTAGGGGATAAAACAGCAGGGCATTAAGGAGCAGTTCAGCTGGCCTATAGTCACCCTTCCGTTACCTTCTATCTCCAATTAGCCTTAATGAAGTCAAAAAGGTTATGTCTGGATAACCTAAGACAATGGAGAGTGGCAAACCCTAATGACTTAACCCGAGAGACGTTTAAGGAAGTTGATCGAATTCCAGCTATTAGGCTGACTGATACATTAGAGCGTAAAAACTGAGTGTAATCTCCTCTGTTTGATTTCGATCGCTGATCGTTCCAATCTATAAGAAAGAACAAAAACTGTTCTGTGATAACTAAAGCCTAACTAGTTTGACTAGTGTATAGTCTAAAATGTTAGCTTCAGTAGTCCTTCAACGCTTATATAGTGCGCATGAAGAAAAAATCCAAGAAAACCAGGCTTTTTCAGGCCTCGACGTGATGTTATTGATCAAATGTTCTCTCTTACGCCAGCTAATTTATCGATCGGTCTATAAACTACAATCCTGATTGTCTAGGTGCTTATAACGTTGCAGAAAATTAACTGGTAATAGTAGCAGGAATATTTATCAGAATTAACTGATTTAATTAGACATAAATGTTACATATAACTGGTAATACAGTCCGTTACTTCTTATCATATTTTTGTGACATTTATATTCAACATCTTGCTTCAATTAATTGTATTTTTCATTTGTTCAATGTTTCATATCTTTTCAGTTAAAAATTAATTTTAAGTGAGTCATTCAAGGAAGTAGATAGATGTTTTTCATAGACCTTAGAATTTTGTATGCTTCTTTTGACTTTTTAAAGCCAAACTTGAAATTTTTAGGTCTTATAGTAACCACGTTACGGCCTAACCAGTCATTTATAATCAGGTAGTTGTTCTCACTTCCCGACCTACGTTAATTTGTCCTTCAGTAATATTATTTCTTATTTCTGATAGTTAATATTGGTAGCCAACAGTATAGTTTTTTCCCATACTTTCCAATTCCTTTTATCCTTTAGTTGCCTCACGTTATTTGGAGAAAGCGAATGCTATTCATCGATCCGTAGGTGAAATGTGTGCATTATGTTTGCTTTAAAACATCTTAGGCTTCGTCTGTAAGAGAAAAACCGAACAAAGGACAACAAAACAGTTTGATCGGTAAGCAGCAATCATCTCCAAAACTTGGAGCCAATGCATCTAATGCTCGATTGGTCATTGATGTAAGTTGCTTGATAGATATTTAAGAATTCATCACTTATGTGTTGTTGAATGGGTTTTTTTTGTAAGTCGGCATATTGGATCCCTTTGATTGATCATGTTCTTTACCTTCATGATTAGAAATTTATGAATTATCACTTTCTTTTCCCATCAACCAATTAATTACCAATTTTATTTCTATAAAATGGTATTATATCTTGATACCATTCAAATAAAAATCGTTCATTTGTTCACTGTTTAGGCCTTACAAAAGTAAGTATGTATAACTAAACCGCAATCTCTATCTTCCACAAGGACTGTGTAACTTTCTAAATGGTGGTATATATATTCGGAGGTAGTGGTAGTCAATCGTAAAACTACTGTGAGCTGAGATTACTCGTTGTAGGGCTTTTTATGACATGCTACTAATTTTTTTCTGTTCACTTTAATAATTTATGAGATTGAATTGTTGAATAAATGTATCCATATATCCGATATCTTTCTTGTATAGCCGTAGTGGCATCCATCACTTAGTCACGCCACATTGTTGTGTTCATCTATTGATTGGAATTCAACTCATTAATTTTGACAATCGAAAATTCGCTCGTCAAATTATTAAAAAACATCTTCCATAACGGTAAACACAGGATTAAGATCGATTGTCAAAATATCATTTACGATCAGTCACTCGATTACACTATGCATTCAGTTCATGCAGTCATAGATGGAAGTTACTGAAACGCTTCTCAATCATTCAGAATCAAATATAATTAGAAGGAAGAATACATTTTATACGAAAACCCAAGTTTATGAAATAATTTGATAGTTAATAGTGTAGTGAGATTGTGACTTCTCTTTGCGAGATTACCAAGTAAAATCTCGTTAATTCCAGAAATCTGAAGGAAAACTATGATTGGGTGACAAGGTGTAATAATTTGTGGTCTCGTGATATCGAAAAGATATCAAGACCGGAATAAAACAGCAGCTAACAACCACCGAGGATAAAAGAGCAATGGGAGACACACGCTTTGAGAGCGAGTTATGGTCTTTAGTCCAGTTAAACAAAAAGGGGTACAATAGAACAGTTACAGTTATAATTGTTTGCAATAATAAGTGTTTCCATTTCTGTAATTGTGTTATCGTAAAATTATATCACTACAATAACAAAGATATAACGAAGCCTTAAATTCATAGTGTTGCAGTCATAATTCTGTAGGAACTCTTTGACTTGATACTCATAATCTCCAATTTGGCTTACACCACATTCAGCTGAGCCTACAGCATCTTTGCCTGACCAATGCCCACAAGTTACGTATCATACTATTTCATGAGAATCATTTGCTTTTTCAATTAAATCAGAAAAAATCCCAAGGTACGCGCATCATTGTCAATCAGATCGTGAGATGATGGCTCATTCTAAGATGGAGGGGGGAGGTTTTTGACTATTTGATGATCCGAAAGACAGACATATACAACGCAGGACTTCGTACGTAAGTACATCAGTTCACGTTGCTATACCACATCAGCACAGAGACGCAACTGTCAGTTCCGATCCAATAGTTGTAGCGATAGTAGAAGTATTAGCAGTAATGAAGAAGATTAGGAAGCGAAGATATAATTCGAGAGGTATAATTCGGTGAGATAAATTTAGAAAGAGAAAGATAGAGATTATGAGGAATTCAGAAGGTTAGAATCAGAGAGAACACAAAGAGTGGATGCACCTGCGCCACTGCAAACGATTCTGAGCCATGTTCTTCAAGGTCTCTAACCATTGGTGACTTTTGACCCCAACCAGGTAGCATACATCTCTACCAACATGACTCAGTTCACTTGTCAGTGACTTCATGGATTTCTGACATGTTTTGGTTTGTTCGCCTCTAGATTTCTTGCAACCTACTCCTATACCACAAAACATAGCTCGTCGAGGCAGTCGGTGGTTAGCCATTAGTAACACACGTCCCAACCACCTCAACTGATGAAGTTTCACCACTTCATCTATTGATTTGCCGTCCCTACCTAGAACTCGTTTCCTAACTATAGCATTGCTTATACGGTTGTCCCAGGATACACGAGCAATGCTTCTAAGACATCTATGATCGAAGACTAGTAACCTACGAAAGTCCTTTACTCTTAACGGCCATGTTTCGCATCCGTATAGTAGGACGGAGCGAACTGCTGCACAGTACACTCGTCCTTTGGTTAGCAAACGGATATCTCGCCTGCGCCATAAGTGACGCAGGTTGGCAAAAGCCGATCGAGCCTTCTGTATCCGTGCCGAGATTTCGTCAGTCACCAGGCCATCAGCACTGATGAGACTCCCCAGTTAAGTGGAGCGGTTAACACGCTCGACTACTTCACTCCCTATCACGGTGATCCGAAATCAGTTAGTCAAATTCATTGATGCTAATGGGTAGTGGCTGTTGACAAAACTGTTTTATTAAATTAAGCGTCCGATGATTAGAGATCAAAGACAAGATCACTAAGCCAGAGAAATAGGTCTTTCATGTAATTAAACGACATGGTGATATGCGAAATAATAACACAGATTACACATGATGAAATATCGATTGGGAGAAATTGGTTTATGGGTCATTTTCTCCAACTAATTAAAACTAGATTATCAGGCCTGACCTTTGAGAATTGTATTAGCGCATTGTTATTGCAGGTACTTTCTGTTATCGATCAGTCGTAGTCAACATAGACTCACTGTAGTGTTTTTTCAGAATTCTGTAATTATTGTGAGAGTAAACTGTCTAAAATGCTGATGTTTAATACCAACCACTGTCAAACCTTTCCTTAGTTGATAGTTTAATGTTCAGGTGTACTATAACTACTGCTTTTAACTGACTGAAAATTGCATATCAAAAATCTATAAGAACAGCTAAGTCAATTGTTTTTGTTTATCAATTTTCGGAGCCATGTATTTTATTGTTGATAATTTGTCTATACAGAATAGATGGAATTCGGCTACCAGTATGAGTGTTTCGTTGTACTTAGGACTAGTTAGCTGGGTATACCTGCATCCTGGATTTGATGTTTAATCCTGGATTCGAAACCGTTACTTCTCTCTTCAAATGTCAACGTGTTATCCACTTTGTTATTTATAATAGACAGTTGTTATTGAAGAGTTCAATCCAGTCAAAAGTTTGCATGTCTTAACCAATTATATATTAACAAATAAACTAATATACACTCGCAGTGGTTTAATTATTTAAAAATTCATATTGTCATTTATATAACCTCTTCATTTATTGATTGTTAACAGCTTTAGTTTAACTAATTTTCAACAAAAAAATGTGTTCATCAAGTCCTATTTTTCTTAAATACATATTTTAGAAAAAATATTAAAGGGATTGAGGATATTTTTGAGTTGTAATCATGTTTGAGAAATCAATATTGTATGTAAAAATCGGGAAAAATTGAGAACATCTTGTCAATATTCGTTAAAAACTGTTTGTTAATCCATTTTTAAAACTGTTTTATTTCTGTTTATTAAAAAAAAAAATTAATCATGAATAGGATTCCGTTGCTTCTGCAATTCATCCACATGATATGGGACACAGTAGTTTAACTGAACACTCTTCAGAAACTCATGATTTATCTGCAATTAGTTCAAGTTCATTATTACCTGTGGATAATCCTATGAAAAAAATCAATGATTTAGATGTTGATTCACTGTCTGATATATCATTAGCTGTATACAGTATTTGGACATTGTTTCAACGTTATGCATCAAATTACATTGTGAATAAAGTGGAATGTGATTATGTAAGTTTTAGTTTGAATATATAACGATGTATACAATTGAATTTGTGCGTAGTTTATATTTTTAATGACTATGTTCAACATAAAGAACCAGTATTTCATGTTTCAACTTACTTGTTGCTTCACCCTACCTTCAGTATTAATATTTTCTGTATTACACTAGTTTAATGACAGAAGACTTGAGAAGATAACTTCGGTACATTTTCTACATTACTTACTTACTTACGCCTGTTACCCCCAATGGAGCATAGGCCGCCCACCAGTTTTCTCCAACCAACTCTGCCCTGGGCTTCCTTTTCCAGTTCTGTCCAATGTTTGTTCATTCCTCGCATATCCTTCTCTATTTCTCGACGTAATGTGTTCCTCGGCCTTCCTCTTTTCCTTTTACATTGAGGGTTCCATGTGAGGGCTTGTCTTGTGACGCAGTTTGGTGCTTTTCTTAATGTGTGTCCTATCCATTTCCACCGCTTCTTCCTGAGTTCCTCCTCCACTGGAATCTGGTTTGTTCTCTTCCACAGTACGTTGTTGCTGATGGTATATGGCCAACGAATCCGAAGTATTTTGCGTAGACAACTGTTAATAAACACTTGTATCTTGTGGATGATGGCTTTGGTAGTTCTCCATGTTTCCGCTCCATACAGTAGAACTATCTTGACATTTGTATTGAAAATCCAGATTTTGGTTTTGGTTGAAAGTTGTTTGGAGTTGCAGATATTTTTCAACTGTAGAAATGCATCCCTTGCTTTGCCAATCCGCTCCCTCACATCTGCATCGAATCCACCTTGGTTGTCGATGCTGCTGCCCAGATATCATTTTCTAACTGAATGGAAAAAGCATAGTTCTAATTCTTCTCCAAAAAACAGTGAAATCCAAAGCATATTTCGTCTACCTTTTGTGCTCTTTTATTAAATCGATTCGTTTATTTTGAATATACATCTGCCTAGGATGACCTGGATGGCTGTTTCGTCATACGTTGAGATTTCTCGACAATACACACTCATGGATTTTATATAATATCGAATCCAAAATTTTGAGTTTCACAGCGAGCAATATTTTTTGAGATTACAGCCCTGGAATGTAATAATAGTTCATGTTTTCAAATTTAGCTTTAACACGGTATCGCATATAGGGATTATCTATTTTCATCAGCATTGATGTCAGTCTGGAAAGCAAAATTTATTTCAAATTCACGGATCTCAAAATTCGTTGCTGTATCCAGTTAGTTAGGCAACTTCACTATCCTAACATGAAATCCTAGTATATATGAAACTATTATGTCTAGACTGTAGGAAAACAGCAAAATCAGCTCAGTCGTACGATAAAGTTCAATGAGATATTGCTCGAATTTTATCTATGGGCCAGCATCCGAATTCTATTCCCATTTTTATATATATGCTTTGACAGAAAAACACTGTGTTAATAGTTAGCAATAACATGATAATTCATTGTATTTCCTTACTTCCATTCAGCATCATCGAGTGCTTAGATGAGATATACTTGTTAATCTTGATTTAAAAAAATATAGGACCCTTTCCTGATTGAATGTTTTCCAAGTTAAACAAAATATGAAACTGATTGTTGGGTCTTTTAGTGATTAATATATTTTCATTTTAGGTTAAGATAGTTGATCTGCTAAATCGCATAAAATCTAAACGTGAAGAAATTATCCGCTTACGCAAATTAAAATGTGAATGGGAGAATTGGTATCAATCAGTTAAAGATTTACATAATGAGGTAATACCCTTAAAATATATAGCCTGTTGAATCTGTTTTGTACTCTTTGATTTCATTTTTCTGTCTGACCGTTGCTACTTATAAATGATCAGTAGTTTGGATCACACACAACTATTTGTGCTACGTTGACATTGTGACCAGAGGCATTCGCTTATCTCAATGAATCATATATGCTACCCGTTCATACTCCTCTTCTATGTTTCGGCTCATTTTTTCAATTTTAGTAGTGTTTCTTCATTTTTTAAAAATTGGGTCCTTACAATGTAGTAGTTGCTTGTTGATGCAAAAGTACATATAGGGAGAATCGACACTCAGTCACTACGTGCTCATCTGTTGGGAAGACGAGTACGCACCATATATCTCCATTCACTTTTCACCTGCTGACACATCAAAACTGAATGCGTTCGATTCCACCCATTGGATACTTCATTATGCGTTAATAATATAGATGCCGTCAACGTAGATACTAAAGATCCCCTAAACTTTAACGATTAATAAGACTTTTTAATATTCAGTCCTATTTTCTTAACTTCAACTTATGCCAATTATGTTTGTTGCAGTCATTCATATTCTGCAATCAAATCTATGTATGCCTTTTATTTGATGTAAGTAACCAAATCTCTAAAAGTGATGGTATATCACTTGGTAACATTCGGACGGGATTTGAATTCTGCGTTGAGCGATTCTAGCAAACGTTTGACAGATCTATGACCCTAGTGATTTCAACCAACCTGTCATACGTTCCTTAAATAGTGAATACCAATCCACATAATAAATAAAGGTTTTCAAGGATCCCTAAATCCTTATACGTCAAACTACCAGGTCCAGAATACCTAATCTCGACCTTTTCCACGTTTGATGGCAAACTTCTAGTTAGTAAATTGACTAAGTTAGTTAAAAGGCTTTACAAACAATAAACATTTAGTTGTCCCGGAATAATGCTACTGTCGTTTCTATCGGTAAAGAGTGCTTTCATAGTTTATACAATAATTGTCAGGTTATTACTGCCCTCTATCTGATTATGATGTAGATCTGTTTCTCGGAAAGAGATTTGTCAATCTTTAGTATGGGAATGGCATTATTTCTCTGTTCAACAGTACCTAATATATGCAGATTGCAATTAACTGGCTAGTAATGATTGCCCGTAGTTATGGTAGATAATTCGTACTGTTTAAATGCAAAATAACGAAACGAATTATTTTGCTCTAATCATGTGAAACTTAGGCTCTCCTAGCTGAAGATTTTCGAAGACTGTGTCCAATTAACATTATCTCCAGAGAATTACTGACATTCAGAAGCAACATCATGTTAGTGACTCTCAGGTTCAAGAATATTCATCCTAGCACAGTAACAATGATTCAGTTACGTGTCACAGTCTTGAAATACCGGCTTCGGTGTCTTGGTTCTATTTTTTGATTATCATCCAAGCGGCATCCATTTCGCGTATTACTTTCGGCCACTGGTACTTGGTAAAGCAGCAGAGAAATGTTTATTTTATGACATGGTGTGGTGCTGTGAGTACTAGTTGTTTACAACTCTGATTTAAGATGTTATTAGTTATGACTTAGAATAAGTGGCAGCTGAAATCTTACTTTAGTCTTTTATTAAATTCTCCATAAAAGTGAGATAAATATCCTTAATTGAAATAAGTCTTTCTGTCTGTTTTTTAAATTAAACTGTATCTCTTATTAAATTACATTTTTATTTGTTTGTTAATTATATATGGTTGTTCTGTTATTTATTTCTCCACAATTTTTTCTATTCTGTTTATGTGTTGCAGTCTTTTTGGTGCCCGAACGAGTCAAAATATATAATTACTATGCATAAAGCACACGAACCTTACAGTTTTTTGTACATAATTTTTTTAACTAAGGCATTTCTGAAATAAAAAATGAGTATATAACACAACAAGTGTGTGATTGAACTGTGTAAAATACCAACTTCAGCTAAATGTCAATTAACATGCCTCAAAAATTAACTTGCTCAAAAGAAATTTGAGACGTCTGTCTATCCTTTGATTCAATAGGTTTATATTTTCACATTTTTGAGAAATATTAGTCCTAATAATAAAATATTTGCATTACGGGGTTGTGAAGATTGTTAAGTTACACATTTTTTAAACCATGTATCGATCAATGTTAGACCACCATTAGAAACCTGGAAGCACTGGACGGCCGTTTCGCCCTGGTATGGGACTGCTCAGCAGTGCGCATCCAAGACTACTGCACCCCGCAGGATTGGAACCTAGGACCTTCGGTATTGTGCGCGAACGCCTAACCATCGTGGATGCGCACTGCTGAGGAGTCCCATACCAGGACGAAACGGCCGTCCAGTGCTTCCAGGTTTGTAATGGTGGTCTAACATTGATCAATTCATGGTTTCAAAAAATAAACTATTTACCTTGATTTTGTTGAGGACTTTATTTCAACTTTACCATGTTATATTATTACTTTTTTTCCCGTCTACTTCAGCGCAAATTACTTACAAATTTAATTCAAACGTTGGGTATATCTGAAAATAATTCAACAGAGAAAGATAATTCTTTAAATAGTCAAATCGAGTTATTGCCTCAACTGGAACAATCTATATTACAAAAATTTTCACCTGTATTCAATCGTCTAATTGTAAAAGGGATAAAGTTAGACAATTGTGAAAATGTTTTAAACGATTTGAAACAACTTAATGACATAGCATCTTTAGTGAGTGTTAATGATATTCTTGAAAAATTTTTTTGTTTTTTTCGTTTATCAGATTACTGATAAATTATTATTGTTCTATTCACGTGTATATTGGCTCTAGATTTCAGTTGGTTAGCAACAACGTAGAACTATGTACTTACGTACATCAATCCAAGTTGCCATACCACATTAGCATAGAAATGCAATTGTCAATTTAAATCACAGCGGTAGAGGTAATAGAAATATATACAGTAATCGTGAAAATTAGGGTTCGAAAATATTGTTCAAGGAGTATAGTCTATTGAAATAATCTTGAAAGGAAAAAGTCACGAGCAATTGAGAAGATTAGAATTTGAGAGAGCACAAAGAATGGATGCACTTGCCCCATTGCAAACTGTTTTGAGCCATGTTGTTCAAGGTCTCTAACCATTGGTGACTTTCTTCTCGCGGAGCCCATCCAGGTAGCCTACATCTACCAACATGACTCAGTCCACTTGTCAGTGACTTCATGGATTTCTGCCGTGTTTTGGTTTGGTCACCACTAGCTTTCTTCCAACCTACTCCTACACCACAAAACATAGCTCGTCGAGGCAGTCGGTGGTTAGCCATTCCTAACACACGTCCCAACCATCTCAACTGATGAAGTTTCACTACTTTATCTGTTGATCTGCCATCCCTACTTAATACTTGTTTCCTAATGGCAACATTGCTTACTCGGTCGTCCCAGGATCCATGAGCAACACTTCGGAGACACCGTAATGGTTTTACTCTCGTGATTTGTTGCTTGGCTTTAGATTTGACAGACGATTATTCAATTGGTAGAGCACATATGACATTAGATCAGTGTTCATTTAATGCTAATGATATATTCCATGTTTTCAGTTTATAAGAAATTCAATTGTTATTTATCTCCATACATAATTAGAATGGATTATCATTTGTTCTGTGTGAAATTGCCTCAGTTATCTGCTATGCCACCATTTGTTATTGTAGTTTCTCAAATTCAATCCCTCTTTCTAAATCGTTTGCAATGGCACAAGTGCATCCATTCATTGTGCTCTCTCAAATCCTAATCTTCTGGATTCGTCATCACCTTTACCTTTGTCTTTCTAACCTTATCTCACTGAATTATACTTCTTGAATAATATCTTCGAACCCTAGTCTTCTTCATTACCATTATTAATACCTCTACTATCTCTATCACTATGGGATTTGATTTGACATTTTCGTCTCTGTGCTAATGTGGCATGGCAGCCTGAACTTATGTGCATACGTACGAAGTTCTACGTTGCAACTGACTGACTCACTCACTAAAAGACTGGATTCTGGTTGTCGGTTTTATTATGTGATTCTTGTCAACCGTCCTATTCAGGAAGCTTTTCTGAAGCAACTATCAGGAAATAAGCTGTGGTGCGTGTTGCGGCTATGGAATAAAATAACATACTGTGCTACTCAAAGCTTCTACTTACCGACTGATTGATGTCAGTGATGGTAACAATGAATCATGCGGAGATTTTGCGGTAACTGCAATTTCAAACGGAATGTTGCTGTTACGCAGACCAGTGACAGTTGTCATCTGAATCGGCCAACTTCTGCATCTCAGTACTTCAACTGAGCACCCTACGATGTACAGGCCTTTTTGTTCGACTATTATGCCAAACAGATGGCAGTTTCAAAAATAAAAATACGTTTCATCTTGAACTGACATCGGCAAATCAGTGACGCATTCATTACCAACATACACAAAATCCAGTTACCACAACAAAGTGACCAATTTTCAAATGTATAGTAATCATAAAAGACCACTTCACATATCAAGTGAATAGTAAACTATCAAACAGATCTATGACATCAATTTCAGTTCCGACTCAAAATCCGACGAACATGAACACATTGAATATACACAATACATATTACTTAATAGTAAATTCAGCACCAATCAACTTCATCACTTACTTCACCCACGCGACCATCAATCCTCAAATAGTCACATTCAATTTTGGATATATAATTAATTCTCATCAATCATCCAAGTGTTTGTAGCAATAAGTTATTGTTAGTTTACAGAGGTGTATCATTCGATGAAGCTCAGATGAGTAAAACATGCTTATATAACAGGAAATGGAAGGAAGCGCAGCAACCAGCCAACCTATTCTGGAAGAGGCGGTTATCGGAGTACTTACCATCCATTTAGGCGAGATCCAAGTGGTTGGATATGAGAAGGAATCTACAACCGGGAGACTTAGTGTTAGTAAACAATATTGGCTCACCGAGAAGTCTATGACTGAAAACGATAGTTAGACAGGTCAATTATGGTCCAGATGGACGAGACAGAACAGTTCGATTGAAGACAGCAACCGAAGAGATCAGCTGGGATATACGAAACCTGTGCCTACTGGAAGAGACCTATTTAAGTGAAACGAACAAACATACTGACCAATATGGCGTGTCTTATCGGAAATGGATAAAATTATGAGTCGCAATAATATAATAAGATAGTAATGTCTTCCAGTTGGTAGGTTACATACAACAGAGATAGTTTACAGACACATCAGAACAGATCAACATGGTAAGCGCTTAAACTACGATTTGATTGGTTAGTTATGGACATATATAACACTTCCCTTCAAGCGGACACCACGCCTAGGTCTCGTTACCGTCGTGCTCAAATAATCGCTGTAATTTCCTTAATTATTTTACTAATCTAATTGTTTTTACGTTTAGAAACAGATTAAGTTTAAAGCCAAGTTATTCTTGTTCTGACCATAGCTTTCACATAGACTGTGTGCTCTCCATTATCGCATTTACGGTTTTAGTAGTATATCTGTAGGACAAATTAAATCCTACATAGGATTAAAATTTCTCTAGAGAGCACCAAATCCCTCCTTACTGATAAGTATTAACTAGCACTAAGTCTGAATCTATGATTTCCTCTCAAAGCTACTTATCATTATTAAAATATACAATTAACCGCTGTTTATTTAATCACCTGGTCATGAATATTTTCGAATTTCAGGACAAATATGTATCATTTCAAATTGTCAGATGTAGGATTTGAACTATAAAAGAGGTAACCGATGGGGATGCATTTCGCATTTATGTCAAAATAATAGCCAAACAACACAAGACATGGAAAGAAAATAGTTCAAATAGAACGGATGAAATAGAGTTTAATTAGAATAATCAGTTAAAATTTAAGGAAGTAGAAATCATGTTGTTGATAACTACAGATAATGACAATCAGATGTATTTCGACAAAGAAGTGCAAATCGATAATGGGAATAATATTTTTAAAAATTTCCCTGTCATAGTCATAGAACATTTTTGTAGATAAGATTTTCTGATGCGAATTGAATGCTTTCACTTAAAATAGTTATTTGTAGGTTTCTTGAGTAACATAGACTTTTAGCAATGTGGGTCAAGGAATAACTTTCAGTTCTTCAAGAAGCTTCAGATTCTTTAAAATAAGTTGTAAATGATTTTTTGTTACATCAGTCCAGTAAGGGAAATATAATATATCTTCGACATCTAGAATTTTGTTTAAATATATACACTGTCATTGGATATATAGTGTATAAAGATCATTCTTACATACAAACATTACACTGGAAACGTAGCGCTAAAATTGAAAGTCGCTTTGATTGAACTTAATGAGAAATTGGACGATTTCATGCATTGGTTTGATGAAGATGAATCAATTTCTGTCGAACAAAAAAAATTATTTACTTAGAACCACCTCCTCTAAACCTAACACTTCAGCAATGGATCAACTAAGTGGTAGGTATACATGACGTTATAGTAGCTTTGAACAGTCGAATCGTCGGCAAACTTTTCACCCTAATCAGTTTCAAAGGTTCATCAGTTCAATCTTCATCACCTAATAACTGTACTTTAAAGTCTCTCTGAGTGACCATTCTAAATCTGGGTTCTTTTTAAGGTGTGTGGTTGCTAACTCTATGTTAAGACGTTCTTGCTTACTAGGGCTTGAGATGGTCAATAAGCCTGAAGATAGGCAAAGCTGAATTACTTCAGTCTTTCATATGTGGACTTGAGTACCAAGCAAAATTTGTTTTGATAATTTAAAACATGATGTAGCTTGTCCTTTATGCCATAGGATTACAAATGTTCAAGACAGTTCAATCAATGTGTTGAATGATCCAGATAGATTACTCTCTAACATTATTGTTATTTGTTTATATATACGTCGTTTCGATAATGAAATCAACTTGTTTATTGTACCGCAATCGGATTTTCACACTGAAATGACTGAGCTAACATTCCTCAGTGAACATTTAGGTAGAAATTTACTTGTACGACTAAAAGAATTATGTTATATTCCATGTCATGTTTTATGCAAACCGATAAGCTGTTGATGCAGCAGTAAAAATTACTAAGTCTTTGATGATAACACAATCTGACATCGGTTTGAATTATTGAAGAAGTGTCATTTCACTGAAAGCTGTAGATAAACTTAATCATCAGTTACATGAAACGCGAAACGTTAGTTGGAGGCTTCGTGCATATAATTCACCTGCATGATGTTTTTATGCAACTGGAAATACTAATCAATTCATAGTACCTGAAATAGAAGGTAACCATAATTTTTTAAAATATAATATATATGCCTGCACGTATATGCCTTTCTGACTGTGTTTTGCTTGAAACTATTGCGAGTTCACCTTAGTCGGTAAACGAGAACGAATACAAATGATCTAGTGACACGATAGGCTATTCTGATTCAACTGACCCTGGCCATGCTAACGATATCCAAAGTCTTGATATGGCGTAGAAAGTGTATTCTAAAAGCACCCAGAAAATAAGAGGTTGTCAAGCACGCAAATCTAGTTTATTTATACATGATAGAAACGTCCTTGGGAGAGCCACAAAAATACCGTAACAAAATAATCCATCAACCAATAACAGCCAAGAATTAATCTGTCGGGAAATGTAATCTCAAGGTCAACTGGTCAGCCCATGAATAAAATGCAAAATTAGGACCTTTATCAAGTGAGTTCCTGGGATCTAACGTCCCCAACACTATGCATGTATATATATTAGTATGTTCATGTACCACTTACATTTCCTTGGGCATGGGCAGGATCTATAGCTTATCTGTGTAAAGCTATGAATCGGTTATCCTTAACACTAGTGTCCCCTCATAACAGAATGTCTACATTAAATTATTATTTTATTTTAAGACCACAATTTTTATAAGATTAAGTCAATTGCTGATGATCACTATGAGATTGTTTATTTTCATCAGTGAAAATGTTAACTGAATTCAAAAAAGTAAGAAAGTTTCTTTTTTAGCTATACATGTATGTGGATTGTGATTTATCCACTTATGTAATAAAAAATTGGCCCATCGAATTGATGAAATCAATAGCATAATGATACCAGTGTGTAAAATAAAAATAGTCAATACATTGTAGCTTGAATCATACAGTTAAAACTAACTGTATTGTGGAAATCATGGTTACTAGTAGATAAAACAATTAGTCCCTTTTATAAATTTTGATAAAACAGTGGGATCAATTACGTCTTCTCACTGTTCATCAAAATTTACTAGTACATAGTTGGGAGGTTCTTCAGTAGTCTTGATGAGGTAAGGAATCAGGATGGCATTCTATGTACGTAAAACGACAGATAAATTTGATTTGATGACTGAATTGAACAAAAATTAAATTCGGTAAGAAGACTGGATAGTCTGAAATTCTCCTGTCATCTCAAATGCCGTGATAAATGCGACACACAGAGCAAGCTTTGAGAGTACTGAGTATCTGCAATGATGGTGAGGTGTACAATTCAAAAGATCACAGAAAATTGCACGACCAAACTCATCTCAACAATCACTGAAGCATACGAAAACGGTGTCAAAACGACTACTAGTCTGGAAAAGTCCCTAGAACGCTCGTTACACTGGTAGGATTGGACCGCTGTAGTCACTTAAGGTGCACCACTGCATGGATGCATCCCCCCACATGACTGATAATTTCGACTACCAACCTAACTTTATTATGTATTATGCTGCCATCTAGTGGGCAGCCACAAAAATTGCTAATATGAAGTATGGCAACTTGAACTGATGTATGACTAGTCGACGTGCTGAAACTCAGCCGGATATTTCCCAGTAACCATAGTTGAAAGTAGTGTTTTGCAAAACTACTCCGTACACTGATTTCCGTGCGGTATTTTTCACTTACAATCCAATTATGTTGAGTCGAGCAGTCAATATTGCACTATAAATCACATTCTAGCTGTCTCAATCTAACAAGTGTTGTGCACGCATTATACTACTGATATTCATTTAAGCGACAACTCGTGAGCGCTTCGTAGTCGATGTTGATCAAACATGCACAAACACCTACAACACATCATGTTGTTCAGTGAATGGATAACATTGTGCCGTCTTCTTTGAACCGAAACTCTATATTTTATCTTGTGTTTTGACATTCTATTTTACTCGCCTCAACGAACCACCACTTCATTACGATTAAGTCAATCATACATCTGTGTACTTAGTTAGTTGATCGAGAAAGTTTGACCAGAAAATTTCGTGGAGATCTTCATTCTAATAACATATAATTGCGTCAAACGACAAGCTCTAATTGGAAATGAAAGATTTCACAACGATACACTTCTATCCAACCTTGTCCCTAAACACATTCTTGATTGGAATATCACATGCATACCTATTCGAGATTAGACAACGCTCTATGACAGTTTTAAACATTCCTTACAATTCTAATAGCACCAGTAATTGTCATTTGCTCAACAACCTTCTGGAAGATCAAATGCATACCTGTTGTTCTCATTGTTAGTTTGCATCATACCTTCAGATGTTAACAGCCATCACATGTTATATTGCTTAATGAGGATTCCAAGAATCGAATAATTCAATCATATGGCCAGTAGAACCGGTGATCTGTTATACTAATGAATGGTGATGTGTATTAGTGAGAGTAAAGTGTGATTTATCACTGAGTAAGTTGAAACATGCTCTCAATTTACTGACCATCAAACATGCGATTTCCTTTCCACTCATCCAAATCTAATACGTACTCACTAAAAGTGAATGCTTGTAATCGTGTACAATAAAGTATCGTTTATTGCTATTACGTTTAAGTCAACCATACATCTTTGCAGCTGGTTGGTTGATCTAGAAAGTTTACCTGGAAAATTTTGTGAAGACCTTCATCCTGATTTTCGTAACTTAGAAGGTAACACCTAATCTCACAGATAACACACAACCCCTCTTAGCTAATCTCACTGCATACAAACCACCGACTGCCTCGACGAGCTATGTTTTGTGGTGTAGGAGTAGGTTGGAAGAAAGCTAGGGGCGGCTAAAACAAAACATGGCAGAAATCCATGAAGTCACTGACAAGTGGACTGAGACATGTTGGTAGATGTAGGCCAGCTTGATGGGGTCCGCGAGACGAAAGTCACCAATAATTAGAGACCTTGAACAACATGGCTCAAAACCGTTTGCAATGGGGCAAGTGCATTCATTCGTTATGCTCTCTGAAATCCTAATCTTCTGGATTCGTCATCACATCTACCTTTGTCTTTCTAACCTTATCTCACTGAATTATACTTCTTGAATAATATCTTCGAACCCTAGTCTTCTTCATTACCATTATTAATACCTCTACTATCTCTATCACTATGGGATTTGATTTGACATTTTCGTCTCTGTGCTAATGTGGTAAAGCAAACTGAACTTATGTATGTACGTACGTACGAAGTTCTACGTTGCAACTGACTGAATACCATATTTGTTACAATGAATTTATCAAACGTAATTTTTATTTGTTCTTATTCATTGTATCTCTTATAGTTTTCTAACATTAATGAAAACGATATTAATTCATTTGAACAATTAGCCAATGAAATTCACAATTTCGCTGATCATTTACAAACTGTCATTTATCCAAATAATATTACTCAGTATGAACAATTAATACAATGTTTACAAACTTTTATTTTACAAACTTCATTGAAATGTGAACAAATTGAACGTCAATGGCTAAAACAAACAATGTCATCAGATTAAATTTTTTGATAACTCTATTTTTGTGAAAGAATAATTTGACTCATTTTTTTTTGATAAATTTATTTATATTTACTTGTTGACTTTTCCTGTGCTGTTAAATTGTTTGATCATCATGTCATGTTTGTTTTGTCTTTGAAAAAAGCTGACAGAACTCCATCAGGTTAGTTGAAATGTAACCAGTGGTATATTATTTGAGTCATTGAAACTAAATGATTAAGATGTTTATTCACCTGCCTGTCTATTAAAGCAGTTCACATCAAAATAGCAGCCCACACCTTAAATACTGACTCATATTTATGTGCTCTCTCTATATTTGTTGCTAGACTGGGTCATCCGAAACATGTGTTTAGCGACAACCATTCAAATGTCAGAGGAGCCGACACCAGTCTTAGACAGATCGTGTATAGTTGGGATCAGAATAAGATAGCAAATACCCTTTTGGAAAGAGGTTGTGAATGGCACTTTAACCGTCATCGAGGCGGTATATGAGAACGCACTGTAAAGTCCATAAGAAGAATTCTACGATTACTAACGTTTCAGAAGATATTGCCGGATGAGTCTTTCGAGACGTTTTTAATAGAAACTGAAGGAATACTGGACAGTCGACCACTCGTAAAGCTAATTAATGACTGTGATAATCTGGATGTACTTTCGCCAAATAAGTTATTGTTAGTTTACAGAGGTGTATCATTCGATGAAGCTCAGATGAGTAAAACATGCTTATATAACAGGAAATGGAAGGAAGTGCAGCAACTAGCCAACCTATTCTGGAAGAGGTGGTTGTGGGGATACTTACCATCCCTTTAGGCGAGATCAAAGTGGTTGGATATGAGAAGGAATCTACAACCGGGAGACTTAGTGTTAGTAAACAATATTGGCTCACCGAGAAATCTATGACTGAAAACTATAGTTAGACAGGTCAATTATGGTCCAGATGGACGAGACAGAACAGTTCGATTGAAGACAGCAACCGAAGAGATCAGCTGGGATATACGAAACCTGTGCCTACTGGAAGAGACCTATTTAAGTGAAACGAACAAACATACTGACCAATATGGTGTGTCTTATCGGAAATGGATAAAATTATGAGTCGCATTAATATAATAAGATAGTAATGTCTTTCAGTTGGTAGGTTACATACAACAGAGATAGTTTACAGGCACATCAGAACAGATCAACATGGTAAGCGCTTAAACTACGATTTGATTGGTTAGTTATGGACATAAATAACACTTCCCTTCAAGCGGACACCACGCCGAGGTCTCGTTACCGTCGTGCTCAAATAATCGCTGTAATTTCCTTAATTATTTTACTAATCTAATTGTTTTTACGTTTAGAAACAGATTAAGTTTAAAGCCAAGTTGTCCTTGTTCTGACCATAGCTTTCACATAGACTGTGTGCTCTCCAGTATCGCATTTACGGTTTTAGTAGTATATCTGTAGGACAAATTAAATCCTACATAGGATTAAAATTTCTCTAGAGAGCACCAAATCCCTTCTTACTGCTAAGTATTAACTAGCACTAAGTCTGAATCTATGATTTCCTCTAAAAGCTACTTATCACTATTAAAATATACAATTAACCACTGTTTATTTAATCACCTGGTCATGAATATTTTCGAATTTCAGGACAAATATGTATCATTTCAAATTGTCAGATGTAGGATTTGAACTATAAAAGAGGTAGCCAATCGGGATGCATTTCGCATTTATGTCAAAATAGTAGCCAAACAACACAAGACATGGAAAGAAAATAGTTCAAATAGAACAGATGAAATAGAATTTAATTGGAATAATCAGTTAAAATTTAAGGAAGTAGAAATCATGTTGTTGATAACTACAGATAATGACAATCAGATGTATTTCAACAAAGAAGTGCAAATCGATAATAGGAATAATATTTTTAAAAATTTTCCTGTCATAGTCATAGAACATTTTTGTAGATAAGATTTTCTGATGCGAATTGAATGCTTTCACTTAAAATAGTTATTTGTAGGTTCTTTGTGTAACATAGACTTTTAGCAATGTGGGTCAAGGAATAACTTTCAGTTATTCAAGAAGCTTCAGATTCTTTAAAATAAGTTAGAAATGATTTTTTGTTTCATCAGTCCAGTAAGGGAAATATAATATATCTTCGAGATCTAGAATTTTGTTTAAATATATACACTGTTATTGGATATATGATGTATGAAGATCATTATTACATACAAACATTACACAGGAAACTTAGTGCTAAAATTGAAAGTCGGTTTGGTTGAACTTAATGAGAAATTGGACGATTTCATGCATTGGTTTGATGAAGATGAATCAATTTCTGTCGAACAAAAAAATTATTTACTTAGAACCACCTCCTCTAAACTTCAGTACACTTCAGCAATGGATCAACTAAGTGGTAGGTATACATGATGTTATAGTAGCTTTGAACAGTTGAATCGTTGGCAGGCTTTTCGCCCCAATCAGTTTCGAAGTTTCTTCAGTTCAATCTTCATCACCTAATAACTGTACTTTAAAGTCTCTCTGAGTGACCATTCTAAATCTGGTTTCTTTTTAAGGTGTGTGTGGTTGCTAACCCGATGTTTAAACGTCCTTACTTATACTAGGGCTTGAGATAGGCAATAGGCCTGGAGATAGTCCAAGCTGAATTACTTCAGTCTTTCATATGTGGACTTGAGTACCAAACAAAATTTGTTTTGATAATTTAAAACATGATGTAGCTTGTCCTTTATGCCATAGGATTACAAATGTTCAAGACAGTTCAATCAATGTGTTGAATGATCCAGATAGATTACTCTCTAATATTATTGTTATTTGTTTATATATATATATATATATATTTATATATATATCGTTTCGATAGTAAAATCGACTTGTTTATTGTACCGCAATCGGATTTTCACACTGAAATGACTGAGCTAACATTCCTCAGTGAACATTTAGGTAGAAATTTACTTGCACGACTATAAGAATTATGTTATATTCTATGTCATGTTTTATGCAAACCGATAAGCTGTTGATGCAGCAGTAAAAATTACTAAGTCTTTGATGATAACACAATCTGACATCGGTTTGAATTATTGAAGAAGTGTCATTTCACTGAAATCTGTAGATAAACTTAATCATCAGTTACACGAAACGCGAAACGTTAGTTGGAGGCTTCGTGCATATAATTCACCTGCATGATGTTTTTTATGCAACTGGAAATACTAATCAATTCATAGTACCTGAAATAGAAGGTAACCATAATTTTTTAAAATATAATATATATGCCTGCACGTATATGCCTTTCTGACTGTGTTTTGCTTGAAACTATTGCGAGTTCACCTTAGTCGGTAAACGAGAACGAATACAAATGATCTAGTGACACGATAGGCTATTCTGATTCAACTGACCCTGGCCATGCTAACGATATCCAAAGTCTTGATATGGCGTAGAAAGTGTATTCTAAAAGCACCCAGAAAATAAGAGGTTGTCAAGCACGCAAATCTAGTTTATTTATACATGATAGAAACGTCCTTGGGAGAGCCACAAAAATACCGTAACAAAATAATCCAATAACAGCCAAGGATGTACCTGTCGGGAAATGTAATCTCAAGGTCAACTGGTCAGCCCATGAATAAAATCCAAAATTAGGACCTTTATCAAGTGAGTTCCTGGGATCTAACGTCCCCAACACTATGCATGTATATATATTAGTATGTTCATGTACCACTTACATTTCCTTGGGCATGGGCAGGATCTATAGCTTATCTGTGTAAAGCTATGAATCGGTTATCCTTAACACTAGTGTCCTCTCATAACAGAATGTCTACATTAAATTATTATTTTATTTTAAGACCACAATTTTTACAAGATTAAGTCAATGGCTGATGATGATCACTATGAGATTGTTTATTTTTATCAGTGAAAATGTTAACTGAATTCAAAAAAGTAAGAAAGTTTCTTTTTTAGCTATACATGTATGTGGATTGTGATTTATCCACTTATGTAATAAAAATTTAGCCCATCGTATTGATGAAATCAATAGCATAATGATACCAGTGTGTAAAATAAAAATAGTCAATACATTGTAGCTTGAATCATACAGTTAAAACTAACCAATCAAAAAAATATATATGCCAAAGGAAAGGTCATAAAATGTGATTGGTGTTTAAATAGAGACATATTTGACCAGCCGGGATTATAAAAAAAAAAACCTACATTCTGTTTGTAGGTAGACATGTTTATTTTCATGCTTTGTGATACAATTACATTTATTCGAACCTACTGAATCATTTTCCCTAGTCAACTAGATTTCGGCGCCATATTGAAAAGTGACTGTTAATCAATCAGAAACTTGTTAAAAGTACACTAACCTGAGAAAATTGTCATTGTTAATGATTGTTTCCACACAATTCCAAAACAAGTAGAGATTTTGTGATATAAGTATTTATTAAGACGACTTTAATGTATTGCGCATTACTTTGAAAGTTTTTCATGTTTGAATGACGTGTAAAAGTATCTACCAAATTGTTGTGCCCCAAACAGTTGGCCAGCATCACGTGACAAATACAAAACACCAATCAGAATTACCTTCTAGCACCAGTAACCTTGAGTCTGCTGTTAGTCCTTATTGGTCCATAACTTGATAACTTCCTTATTTATAACCTCCCTGCCTCTTAATCCACAAGTCCACAGTCAGCCTCCACAAAATTCGTTATATTTCAAGTAGACTTCATTTAGATACAAAACATATCGGGTCATATCACACTGTAGTGGCGAACGAGTTGAGATTGACTATGATCACCACTAAATATTGATTACGAGCCCGATTTCGTGGTATCGAAAAAATACCGAAATCGTGCCAGAGAAAAAGGGCAAAATTATAAGGAGCAGTATAACCAACATGGCAGAGACACAAACCGAATGTTTGCGCGTACAGAGTAGGAATAAGAAACAAATAGTACAGTTAAACAAACACTGGTACAATTGTTTATAAACATGAATGTTTCTATCAAACCAATCGCATTCTCTTCATAAAAGTAGATTCACTACAACACCATAAAACGAGAAAATACATTTATACAT